GGAGGGAGGGAGGGAGAAAAAGAGAGGAAGCGAGACAGATATGTACACGCGAACCCGATTCGATAGGTAGGGACACAGCGGCGCGTGTAACACGACGGCTGTACGGCCTCGCCTCACCTCCTCGACGCGCGGATCGGAGATCCCCTACCCCGCGCCGATATGACGGCGCGTTGTCGACAGCGGTGGCGGCACACCGGCGACGATGAAAGGCTAAAATAGATCGACTCTGTCACTCGCGCGCGTCGTAAGCTGCCGAGCCGGTATCGAGTTGTGCTCACGAAGGGATGACGAGCGCGTGTCGCGGAGGACGCAACAATGGTTCTCGCTCTTCCACCTGCGGCTCTTCGAGCTGCTTTTTCGACTCCCTCTTCGCGCTCCTCGCCGGCGCGACGGCTACCACCGCCTCCTCCTCTCCCTCCTCTCTTCGCTCTTGTGTTCTCGAATGGGCGATCCTCTCCACGTTCCAGCGAGGAGAGTCCACGGACGTTCCCTCCCGTTGCCTCTTCGGTTTCTCTCGGCGCCTCCCGTCTCCTCGCTTTTTCGGGGGCTCGCACACTCTCTCTGAGGAGCCCTGTTTCCTCCCTGCCGCCTCCTCCGCGCTTTTCTACCCCACCCCCCCTCCGCCTCCTCTTCTCCTCCTGAACCGCGAGCTCCTCGCCGACGGTCACGGCACGACCAGCAACAGCAGTACTCGGAGAACCCGCACCCTCGCGTACCTGCTCCTCTCTCTCTCTCTCTCTCTTTCGGCTGCCTTTAAACACACACGCACACCCTCTTCGGAGAGGTCTCGCGCCCTCACCGACCTCTCTCGCCACCGCGCTTCCTCACCGAGTTCGGGCTCGTCTCCCCTCACTCAAGTATCCCCGAGAAAACTCGCGACCGAAACGTCCGAGACGAGGTGCTCCCTGCAGCCAACATGTCGTCTGCTAGACCACCAGCGCGGCGCGGCACGTCGCGGCGGCCCACCGCGCTACAGACAGTCCAAGCTCGTAGTCAGATTTCGGAGCGCCCGTTGCGCCGGTATTAACGTCGCTCATCGCGACGCTCGCCGACGGATCCAACCGAACTCGATGTTTCCAATTTTGTACTCGGTTGCTGGCAACTCCGTTGTTCCGGCGGTGCTATTCCATTGATTCTTGAAAATGTGGAATCTGTGACTCTGGTGTTCGCGCGGGGTTCGCCCGTACGCTGCGACGTTCATGCGCCTCACGAACGCCAGCCGAGGATCGATCGGATCTTTTCGGCCGCGAGTATTAAAGCATACAGGTGCCGACGATGATCTTCCGGGTGTCCACACTCTGCCGGCGATTCAGAGACGGCTGTCGCGTGCTTGCTTCGTCAAATTTTCTCTGCAATGCATTAAATCGAGCTATTCGCTTTTGACGATCCGTTATGACAAAAAAATGCATAATTCGCCATTTCTGTTGTATATTATATCTATGTACATTCTTTTCATACATTTTTTTATTTCCAATATCTATATAATTTTTACGTGCTCACATACACGATATGAATAGAAGATTGATGCATAAATATATCTTAAAGTTAAACATATATATACTTCTTATTATGTAATTATATATATTTACACGCAACATTTGTATATACTATTCTGTGTGTTGAGAAATAAGTATTGGGATTACCCAAGTTATAAACATATACCTTTCCTACTCTAAATTCAAGTCAAACATATGTGTGTTCACGATTTACTCGAAAGAATTCTTCCGCCACGTGTTACGCGCATGTATATGTAACAATCATGATTTATAACAAAATTAAATATACAGCATTGAGATAATATAAATTTAATCTTAACGACATCCGAAACACGTTTGCATTTATTTACGTTTTACTTTTTATGTATTTATAATGTATTGTATGAGTACTTTTTACGTACATATCTCTTGAGACTATTATTTCGCGAAATAAAAGTCACGTGTAGAAACGTATGAGTCGTACGTAATATTAACGTATGTACAATGGTACACACCTGCAGAAACTTCTCACTATTTTTTTTCGCACTATTTATTGCATCGTCGTTTTGTCTCCGCTGGGCGATGAGAAAAACGAATTCTTGCGCACTCGAATATTACTCCATTATTGCGGAGATAGATGCCATGTCTCGCATTTTCTCGCCCCTTGCCCCCGTCACCTCCCGTCACTTAAACACGTTGTAAATTTAGCGGGTAATAATTCACCGACGACGTTGCAACTCCGAAGGCTCTCGTGTTCGCAGGAAACCGCGTCTCGACTTTTGACACAATGAATTTAAAGCGGACATCTTTCCAAGATGTCCACTCGCTGTTTCGATTAAACGAGCCAGAGTATTTCCTCAGGTCTATCAATACCACGTTGATTGCTTCACGTGGCGCTTGCGCTGGGTTTATGACTCGGTGATTGTTTCTGCTAATTCTTCTTCAGGTCTATCCGCTAGGACCTCATTTAGATTTAGATCTTGAACATTTATGGCGTGCTGATTGGAACCTAAGGCAAAAGATAAGAATCGCTATTCAATTAGGGTTTCGTCCACACAAGATCCATAAGGCTAGAACAAATCAGAGGGGAGAAAAAAAGTACGTAAAAAACAATATCATAATAATGATATTTATTTGGGCTTGTTGTAAAGTGTGCCAGGAAATTCATTGGCGCTAGAATTGCTTCAATTTTACCTGTATGCGCGAGGAAGAGATCCTTGAGGAAGCCTAGCTCCTTAGTAAGCATCTTGATCTTCTCCTCCAGTAATCCATTCTCTATCTTCAGTTGGGTAACCCGCTTTTGGGTATGTTCCGTGCGTAATTTGCTCTTCACCCTGGATCGCTTCACAGCCTGTGAAATGCGAAAATAACGACTGACACTGGTTCAGGCATAAATAATCAATATAATCAATATAAAAAAAGTAAATCATGATAAAGAAAAAAGAATGTACGTTGATGTGCGAAACCAATAGATTACTTGATTATTTCGATCCCTTCGCTTTCGATAATCCTCGTCGTCCTCGTCCTCCTGCTTCTTCCGCCTATTACTGCTATTTTCTTTATTTTTTGGCGCCATCTAAATCAGCATGCAAATTTAAAATCAACATGCGAATTTATCAATTTGCGAATCTTCGAACGATATGAGAACATATGACAGTATAAGAATTAAAATTATAAAAACTTGAATCACAACTTATACAGCTTCTTTTTAGATATAAATATGCATCTTTAAATATAAATATGGGTTGAATTCAATAGATAAAGAGAGTAAATGTAGTAATAACGTAGTTACCGATATTGATCCCATTTTGATTTTACGCTGTTATATCCACGTTCCATTTTTTACATGCGACTAATCCTTAGAATGCCAATACATCGACCATGTGTCGGTAAAGAGAGAAAAATGAATTCTTTGGATCTAATACAATTTTTTTAATTGAGGCAAACTTGTCTTTTGAAATAGAGCAAACAAACGAATATTTGGTCCCACAAATAGGATTGTCTGCTTCCTCAAACAATAAACATCTTTACGTCGAACAATATATTTTGTTTGTATTTTCATTGTATAAACATTGCATTGGTTGCCACAAGCAACAAATTATTTGATAGTAGTAAAACTATGCCACAAAAATATTAGAGAAGTACTTTGTTTCAGTGAAACAATATTTAATATATAAAAAAATAAATTTTTTTATTGGAAACGAAATATTATTTCCTTTTAAATAATACTATTTGTTTCTATCAAACAACATGGTTTACTCTAGCAACATTTTCAAATTCAAACAAAATGATGTTTGATATTAAATTATGTTGTATATATTAAACAAATCCAAGTCAAACATGTATGCTGCTTTTTCTTTTTGTATGCTAAAGATTTTGAATTTCTAAAATTTCTTGCTATGTTTTGATCACAATATTGTTATACTTTCGACATCGAAAGGTCCAATCTTGCGACGATTTGCGAATTGCGCGGTTACCCAAACGTGCAATTCGCTAATCGAGATACTAGAATTAGATGCGTGACAAATATTGAGATCGGTATGCATTTCAATGTACAGCATATGTATGTACGCACGCACAACGTACAGGCCGGTCATTACGTTTCGCTTTGAGCAACGCGCCGTCGCATAACGCCGCACATGGTGTATTTACTCAATAAGGCCTTGAGGCCGTTCTGTTAAGAAACCGGCCCTGACATCTTCGCGCCGACACAACCTCGGTTCGGAAACCGCGAATCGGGCTTTCATTGTGGCGCTTTCGCGATTGAGGTTTCCGCGGGGACGCGACTCCGAATCTAACGCGGAGAAACGGCCGACACGCTCGTGAAAATCGGCACGGTCATTTCCGATTACGATCTCGTTAAACGTCATTTTCAGGCTCAACTGCGCAGCGACGGTTTCATTCAACTAATCTTGAATCAGCGACATACGTTGCATATTTTCAGTTTATGATCCTATTCACGATGTAGACGAATTTAAAGAACGTAATTAACGCGTACATGCTTATTGTTGCATCCAACGTATCTCGTATCCAATAGAAAAATATATCTCCTGATAGAATTACTAAAAAATACCATTTTCCCATCGGAATGCGTTTCTTAATTTATAAAAGAAAAGGTGTTGCAACTTTTCTGTGACTGATCACATACACACACACACATACATATATATACACATAATGTTCCAATAGACGCTCTTAAAATACAAAAGCCTACTCCGCCGTAATTTCACATTGTACGCGTTCACAATCGCACCGTCTGTTTCCGCGAATTGATAATATAAAACTCTTATATAAATCTCTGACATCATCGTCGGCCGACTCTGCTCGCGCGCGCTTAATCACGCACGTTATGAACGAAAACACGCTTAACGAGGAGCCGAAATGTCCCGCGCACGAAGAAATAAAACGGCCGCCGGTTATTAATTTCAACGAGAGCAATTTTCCGCGTGCCGGTGATTTGCGCGCGCGACTCGACGGCACGTCGAGGTCACCGTGGAAAACATTTTCGCGCTTGTGTCAGTTGAAATTTCAACTTCACCGATAGTTCTACCGATTTCGAGTGTCACACACGTGACACGATTGTCGTGTGGAAATGACTCAAACGGACGCGTTGCATTTTCCGTTCCACCGGGCGCTTTCTTTACACGCGGCGGCATGTTGAATCTGTTTTTCGTTCCTACACTGACTGCACTAGTTCTCTTTTCACCTCTTTCTTGAGATTTGGTGGGACAGAGAGAAGACTAGTGCAAGCTGGCGCAACCAGTGCAGCAAGAGAAAACAGACCCGTTGTACAACGTCGCGATTTTTTCCTCGTTAATAATCAATCTGCGCGATCTGCGAGAGATAATTTCGCGCGAAACGGATGTCGCTGACCACTTGTTTACCTTTGCAGCGAAACGAAACATTGCGCCGGCAACGGGCAAGACGAGAGACAACGCGTAGACAATTAGTACGCGAGACTCAGGGTCAATGTTTTCAGCATACGCGGTAACTCGCGACCGCATGCAATGGCGGATTTCAAAACTTACGCCTGCGGCCCTACTAAACCGTGATACGAGCTGTGTTCCGAAACCGTGGCCGACGGTTCGGTTAGCGCTCAGCCAATCATGATAAAGAAATTTTTATTCATTTTCTTCCGATTGGTCAATTAAATGCTAACCAAACTACGTCAATAAGATTTCAGAACACAACCACGAATTAAATCCCTCCACCTCGCCCTTGATTATGTTGCGTGATAATAAAATTGAAATATAGAAACGATGAAGAATCTGTAGTTCGCCCTCAGTTTCTTGCAGTCCTGTGTACGGTCGACCGACGAATAGTTGCAACACCATTTGTTCGACGAGTTTCGCAACGCATCACGCGGAGAATTCAATAGGAGGATTTGTCTCATAATAATCCTCGGGAGAGACATTTTGTATGTATTTGACACGAGATGCGTCGCAAAACTCGTCGAAAAGATAAACCGTCGCGACTATCGGCCGACACTTGCGGCCCAAGTTCGGCATCTTTCGGTCGAACGTATATTTAGATACCTACCACGCATCGTGACTGTTGGTACCTTTGACCTTTAACCTGTCGATTACACGCGGTCCTTTTTCCCTTCGAATATCCGGCTCGAAATTTAATTTTCAAAATCGTTAAACACGTCACGACAGCTCGCGATAACGGTCGAGATGCGAAAGCATGGCGCCGAGCACACGGATGAAATTAAATCTGTTTGTCACGCCTGCACTTTCATGCGTGCTAGCGTAGAATCACGACTTCGTGATAGGCAGGTAACATATGTATTCACGTTTCGGCGTGAGAAGAGGTCTGTTCGTTTTCGTTGCACCGCTGAACTAGTGCAATCAGTTGAAGCGAGACATGTTTTTTCACGTCAACTTATTGCACTAGTTCAGCGGTGCAGCGAAAACGAACAGACTTAAGGAAAAGGGACAGAAGGGCGAGAATGCAATCGCAACGAGGTTCTGCGTGAATTCAGCCCTGACGAGCATGAGCGACTTAACGCGTGCACAAGCGTCGGCATACTACGCAGCACGCGGGAAAAATCCACGTTGCCCACGTTTCTTCACCTTTACTTACTGCATCCGCAGTGTCACTCGTCGTTCCGTTCCTCTCTCTGTTGAACTCGTTCGTTTACTCTTCGGCCTCGACTCTACCGTCCGAGCGGAAATCACGCAATGCCATGTGCACCTCAGCTCGCGACACGATCCGTGACAATCCGGTAGGATAGGTCAGAGATGATGCAATCGTGCGAAAGAGTCATCGCAGGTGCCTACCATGGATTGAACATTGAGGTACCGACGTGTACTGCGAGCTGTCGGCAACAAACGAGCGAGAAAAGCGCTCCCTCTTACGTCCGTCTCGATCCGAGAGCGCGCCATCTTGTTCCCTTCTCGCGCGACCATTCGCGTAGACGCGCACGGCGAACAAAATGGCGTAGCCAATCATGCTTTTCAATTTAAACTCTAGTTTCTTTTGCGTTTTTTCTTGTAACGTCCCGTCCGTTACTCGCAACGTCGCAAAAATTACAGGGTATGCAAAATATAATGTTGCAATAATTGTGTATCACAGATCTTGTTTCTCTCTCTCTCTCTCTCTCTCTCTTGTCGATGTAACGTAGTTGCTTCGCATCGCGAAAGTAATCACCAGCCTGTATTTTCATAATCGCAGGTATACTTATATGTGTCCAAGTAATAGATATACTTATAAATATTTATTGTTCCTTCGATTGCGCATCCAACGCTGAGAATTCCATACACTTTGTAATAATTATGTACATGTATTTGTACGCGTCGTCGAGGTTACCTTTCGTGTGAGAATGTTCGAATTCATTTTTCCCCGACACGATGCTTTTACGATAGGGTGACGAAACGTTCGTCGAATCAATACGATCGGTGAATGTGACGGGTAGACTGTGTACTTCCGACGCGTGTCTCGTACTTCACTCGCTCTCGGAACCGCTTTCGCCGCTCGCGCTACCGGTACCACTGCCACTACCGCTAACAGACCTCGATCTCGACTGCGAGCGTGACTTCGACCTGGACTTGGAGCTCGATCGAGATCGCGGTGACGGTGACTTGGCGGGGGATGCCGAGCGCGACCTCGACGCGGATCTGGATCGAGATCTGGATGAGTTCCTCGACTGGGGACTGCCAGACCTCGATCGTGATCTAGACGGCGAATGCGACATGGAGCGCGAGCGAGATCTGGACTTGGACGGTGAACGGGAGCGTGACTTTGATCTTGATGCGGAGCGGGATCGCGACTTGGATCGAGATTTTCTGCTGGACGCTCGCGAGGACGCCCTCGACGATGCACGGGATCCCGCCTCGTTCTCCCCTTCGGAACCTGACGAGAAAATCTGCCATTAGCCGCGGTGGTTTCTCTCGAAAATCTACGGAAACGTATCGAACGTATTTGCGAGCGAACCTTTCCCGTCAGCTTTCTCTCCAACCTCCTGCTGGGTTTCCTGCTCCTCCTCTTCCTCCTCTTCGTCCTCGTCGTCCTCTCCCGGCGGCTCCAACTGTTTCTCTCGGTACCTCTGCATTCTGAATTCAATGGCGTTCAACGGCCGATGGCGCACTATCAGGCGCGTGTTGTTCGGCTGTTGTCCGACTTTCTGGCGACGTTTACTCAGCCGGACCCGCGTCTCCAGCTCGTTGTAATAAACCTACGATACGAGATGGCCGATGAAAATGAGTAAAGTATGTAACATAACAGTGTTATTTCAACAGCGACGTGTACCCCCTCTTGTCTCATCACGAGGAAATAATTCTCTTCGTATCCCTTGGAAGCTTTGCTCTTGACGTTCCAGTTATATTCTCTCGCCATTTTGTACTCGTATTCCTCCTCATCGGCGTAATCTATACCAGCGGTGAAGTCCCGTCGGCGCTTATCCAACGTCTCCTCCAGTGGCAAAAAGTACGCTACAAACTGCTCGCCGCTTTCGTCCATCACACCTCTGCAAAAATTGTTTTTGTATGATAAAGTAATAATTTCGAGACTCTTTTAATTGAAAAAAAAAATTACTCTAGTATCTTAAACTTACCGTATCATAGCTTGAGACATTTCTTCAATCTGCGCAGGTACAGAGCGACCAGCCGGTGCGGGGTCCGAGTCAAAAATAACTTGTGCACATGGATATTTCCACAACTGAAATTTGGAACCATAAGTAAACAAAGGACAGACGTATAGCGGATATTAAACGAATGTAAATGAAGACATTGTTGTGAGAGTACCTTAAAATCGGGATATACCGGTAGTATTTCTACAGGTACTACATTTGGTTTGCTGTAATGCCTTTCAATTGGTTTTTTATTGTCTTCAAAGGTCTTCTCTATAGCTTTTATTTGACTCTCACGGTCCATATACAATGTTTCCTCCTGATTGGAAGTAGACAAACATTATGTTGAAAAAATTTGCAATCAAATATTTATTATATTTAGTGCTGTAAGTATATAGCATACCTTAAAGTTCTTCTTGATACTATAGCCAACTTTGGCTTCGACCTTGTCCACACTCTGTGGTTGAAATCTGGTAGTTTCAGTAGAAATATATTCAGTACGTCTGAGCCAAGATACACTTCTGGCATGATGTCTGGACCTCTTCGAGTCTTGCGGTGTGAGAACATCTTCCTCAAGTAGTTTCTCATCAGCTGGATCCAACTGTGCATTAGGATCTCCTGCATATGTATCCTTGTTTATCAAATCAATTTCAACACCCAAATCATGTTCCGTCAATACTTCGTATTTGTAATTGCGTTCTAACGAGGTCGGGTTGTAACGAATAAATCTGCATCGTGGTAGTCACAAGTTATTGAAGAGAAAACATGTACATGTTGGTTTCACATCTTGCTACTTACCTGGATGGTTCAAAGGGATATGTTATAAACTTCGGATCAAACGGAATGTCCGGCAGTGTATTGCAATATTTAACCCGGCATATTAATTCGGATCTGAAATAAAAAGAGACGAAGCGGTAACGTGTCATATTCGATTAAATTGCATGAAGTGACTTTACTTACCTCTTCTCCGCTGGCCGGGTCACACGTTTATCTCTGTCAGCTTGATTGGTATTAGTTTGAATGGTAGGTGCCATATTACGTTGCTGTACGCGCGTAAATCATATATCCTACAATCCAGAAATTACACAGGGCACGATAACGCTAGTAAATCGAAAACTACACAAGTACACATGGCCGTCGGATCTGGCCGTAGAAAGATTCGTACAGAGGGTAGTAACGCCGTTTTCGTTTATTAAAATAAGGCACCTAGCGAGTAATTCGTGACTCTGATCTGAAAGTATTTACCAATCAAGTCTCTTACTAAACACCCCCCCCCACCCCCTCACTATCCAACACTGAATATTTTGCTACAGCCACTCAAAAGAGTCACAACGCCATTCAACGAGTAAGGAAATTACGTAGTATATAAAATAGAGAAAATATCATATGTAAGATGGGGCTTCAAAATTGCGTTTTGCCTAGGCAGTAATGACTTCGTTAAAAATAAATGGCTTCGAAACGAACAAAAGCTTCGCGAGCACGTGCATATTCACGAATCACCGAACAAACACATCTGTATTCTCTCTCTAAATAATGGTTCCAAAGGCGACCCAAAGGCACATCCCCACTCGACGATGGAAAGAATTCGATTGACCGCGTTGCAATTGACCACCACCAACCACAACCAGCCGTGATTTAGTGATTTTCCAGTGTCGCCCAATCGATGTAGTCAATTGGTCTGTTCATTTTAGCTGCACTAGCTTGAGAGGTAACAAGGAAGAAGCAAGAAGTGCAAAAAGTACAGTTAAAACAGAACAGATGTATGACGTCACCTGCCAAGCAATACGAATAAGAGTTTTGTATTTAACTTCATTTCGATTAAAACTAAACGGTGAGTTTAAACACATGGGCAATGGTGCGAAATTAATTTCGCGTAGCAATAATAAATCTTATGTAAAATGTACAAAGTTGTATGCAGCTTATATCACACGCGCGTTTCAAGGGTGAAGGACCGACACAAAATTGACAATTTTTTACAATCGATGAATGACTTTGGGCTTTTCTATATCGGTGTTCTAACCTCTTTAAAACGAATACTTGGTGTATACGTTTGACAGTAGTGTTTTCGAAGTTATTAAAAAGTTGCTTCTTTTTCCGAGTTGAACTTTTCGGTGACTACGTACAAATTTGTGGAGTCAGATTTACGGTAAAATCTATAACTTCTATTTATTTTGCGGAATAGATATCACCAAATAGTAAAAATGGCAGAGGCAGCAATGGATAACTCGGGCAGACTTGTGAAGATGGAAGTGGACTACAGCAACACTTGCGATACAAAAATTCCAGAATGCAAGAAACTTGCCTCTGAAGGAAAGCTACATGATGCTTTAGATCAATTATTGGCTTTAGAAAAACTCACCAGAACTGTTGAGTATATAGTGATATCATAAAATAAGGGATATGTATATGTATTTGGACGTAAACTAAAATTATTATATTCTTTTTAGGGTGCTGATATGGCATCAACATCGAGACTTCTTGTAGCCATAGTTGAAATTTGTTTAGAAGCCAAAAATTGGTCAGCACTTAACGAACATATAATCTTATTGTCAAAACGACGGTCTCAACTTAAACAGGCTGTTACAAAGATGGTTCAGGAATGTTGTACTTATGTAGACAAGACACCCAACAAAGAGACTATGGTAAAACTGATAGAAACTCTTCGTTCAGTCACAGAAGGAAAGGTAAGCTAACACTCAACCAACATAAATTAATACAACTCAAAATTTCAGAATATTTTATGATATATCTCATAATGATCTGTTGTGACTGTTATCTTTCTTCAGAAATATAAGTAGTTCTTAAAATACATGTATTTTCTTGTAATTAAGACTATTGTCTTTAATTGCCATTTTTATTATATTACTTATGTTATCAAAATAACTAGTCATTTTTAATATATCTCAAACTATTCAACAATAAAAACAGTGTTCATTGTGCAATTTGATTTTCTTGGTTGTACTAATTAATATACCAATTACATGATTGATATGATTTAATATTCACTAAATATAAAATTTAATGTACAAGATATATGTGGAAGTGGAAAGAGCCAGACTCACTCATCGTTTAGCCAAAATAAAAGAGGCAGAAGGAGACATTGCAGGTGCTGCAACTGTAATGCTGGAACTACAGGTATATAATTTTTAATTATAATACATAATAATAAATATTAATTGATATAGTATTGCTCTAAATAACTTATTGTATAGGTGGAGACATATGGTAGCATGTCACGTCGAGAAAAAGTTTCCCTGATCCTGGAACAAATGAGACTCTGTCTGGCAAAACAAGATTTTATGAGAACGCAAATTATAGCAAAGAAAATCAACGTCAAGTTCTTTAGTGATGAGAATGACGAGGAAACCCAAGCTTTAAAATTGAAATATTATGAGTAGGTATACACTGTGTTTTACGTTTGAGTTCATTATATGACAGTTTTGATAAGGTACATTTTACGTTTAGTTTGATGATGGAATTGGCTCGTCATGAAGGTTGGCATTTAGAATTGTGTCGGCATAATAGAGCAGTATTAGAGACTCCAGCGATTAGGGACGATTCAGAAAAGAGGCATACCGCACTTTCTCGTGCAGTTCTGTACCTCGTTCTTGCTCCACACGAACCTGAGCAGGCCGATTTGACTCATCGATTACTCGCTGACAAACTTCTCGATGAGATACCCACATACAAGTAATAATTATAATTATTTTGGAATAATAAGCTAAATATATAAAACTGGCTAATAATTATCTACACTGAGATGATAGTGCATTACAGGAGAGTAATCATGTTTTGCGACGTTGCAACACAAACCGCAACTTTTTTCGAATTTATCGTTACACTCTGCACTATCAATACTATACATGTGTGTAAGCAATAACCGATATTGGATAGTCATATTTGTGCGAATCCACAACGTAATCATGTTTTGTTTTGAAAATCGTCTAATATATTTATTTTTACATTTTTCAAAATAACAAACAATTTCCAGGGAATTACTGCGTTTGTTTGTAAATCCCGAGTTAATAAAATGGTCGGGGTTATGTGAGATTTATGAGAAAGATCTCAGATCAACCGAAGTTTTTTCTTCTACGACTGAAGAAGGACGCAAACGATGGGCGGACCTTCGGAATCGTGTTGTAGAACATGTAAGTTCTCGACCAACATCAGAAACATGTCGGTGTGGCGTCTGTATGTCTGTTTCCAGAAGTATACATTTGCGAATATATTTTATGTTATAAGCTTCAGCATGTCGATATGTTGCAAGATTTTATTGCTTCTTTTTTTCAGAATATCAGGATTATGGCCAAATATTACACCAAGATTACATTAATTCGCATGGCTGAGCTATTAGACCTTCCTGCTGAAGAAACGGAAGCATGTCTCTGCAACCTTGTGGAGACTGGTGTTATCAGCGCACGTACAGATCGTCCAGCTGGCGTGGTCCGTTTTACTGGTACGCAAGAACCAGCTGCTTTGTTGGATACGTGGGCCGCATCATTGTCGAAATTGATGGGTCTTGTGAATCATACGACACATTTAATTCATCAGGAAGAAATGTTAGCTGTTGCGCAATCTTAAAATTGATACGAAATATATATATATATATATATCGTGCAGGTATATAGTGCCGGTGTTTCTTACACATTTGAACTTTATTCTTATTCAATATTAGCACTACACATTATTTATGCCGATTTGTTAACAAATCGATTAAATCTCTTTGATTACGGTTTTAAATCGCCAAATATAAAGATTGCTATAATATAAATACTTTTGTACGTATTGAAAACTCAACAACCTGATAACTAAGTGCATACAGATTTGCCGTTCAAAACAATTTGAATACAAATTTACATTTTAAAAGATGGAGTTACGAGTATTCAGAGGAGCGGCATTTGTTGTTAAATTGGAAAATTAAATAAGGATATTCCTGACATGCAATTAACTTTCAAAATATATAGAAGCAGCAGTAATAACGTTATTAATTTTTTTCTTTCATTAAACTTAATCATTGTCGTCGCCCTATAAGAAATACATACAACTTAAACTAGCGTAGTGTATATATAAGATAATATTTTAATATTACATAATATGTTTGCAAAATACAATGCATGACGATATGGCATTAAAAAAAGAAGAAGGAAGAAACGAGTCAGTTTTTTCAAGAAACAAACGTTTCTTTGAGTATCCTCAGGGTGTTTCTTGTTATTTGCAGATCCTTTGAAAATTCTAATTTAAAGCCTTATTCTACAAATATCAAATATTTACGTATATCCGCGCATTGAAACTTCATTATATTGCACTCGAACGATACGATTCAATATATAAATATCTCAATTAAAGTTATATAATACAATAGTTTTAATCTATTAAAAATTAGGCAATATAATTAAGATTCGTTTAATTATTTGATTATTATCGATTATATGACATTTGAATCTCGACGTTGCTTTTTGAGCTTGCGCAAGTACCAACCTTGTGTAATCTTCTTACTTACGCGATTAGTCAACTGTTGCCAACCGTGCACGACAAAAATGTCAAATTTAACAACTGTATCATTGCTAGTGTTTAGATTCTTTGAGCGTTTAAATTGAATTTTTTTTCCATTATATTCTCGAGGATGGATACTCATCTGTGTTGTTATCGCCGTCACTATTTTCCATGTGTCGCAACGATGATATCAGTCAATAATTCTGGAGTATTTTCTTAACGATGCTCCGACGTAACCTCATCGACAACTGTCAAACTGGTGAAAAGGGGGTGACAAATTAACGAAAACTTCACTCGTCTCGCAAATCGAGGCGATTATTCAGGAAGCCGCTTTTCCATCGATGTCCAAGTGGATACGCAAACGAATGTCAATTTATTGCGACCACAAATGGCATTGCGAAGTATGAACTCGGGCAACACATTTTATACGCCCGTATCATCATTCGCAGGTACGCAATTAAACAAGTGCATTGTAAGTGTATATATTCAAGGATCATTGATCAATCAATGTTTCCGTATCATTTTCCAGAGATGTGGTATCAAATATTTTTATGGGCCCTATTTTCCTCGATATTCGTACATACAATCGCTGGGGCTATTTGTTTCGCTACCTTACGGCAACATAAATACGGCAAGTATGTAAGTTTTAATTTTCTAATAGTTGTTTGCGAACGATACGATCACTTCACGATTTACTGTGTATCCATAGATTCTTTCCACTGCTTATCATAATAATGGGTGTACTCTTGCCGCTGACATCCGGAATTCTCAGTTCAGCGGCAGTTGCCTTTGTATATAGAGCGTCTGGTTATCAAATGCCACCTTTATATGCATTGTTTTGGGGTATTGGGCAGACTGTGGTAGCTGCGTGCGTTGGATTCACGCGAATTTTAGCAACCTTGTAACCTAGGGACTACATTTGTGATATTTGTGTGTATATATACATGAGAACGGCGATCAAGTGTCTTCTAAGTTATAGATATATATATGAAGCTCTGTACATACATAGGTAAGTTTATCATTGTAGATATTTAGTTACATTGACATCGATTAATGGGTTAATTATAAAAATAATAAATTGTGAGAGTTGTTGAAGATATATGTTAGGAAGATTTTGTAACAAGAGATAGATGCATTTATTGAGTATTACAGTGAGGAAATACACATACACACACGCACATATACACACATCACGATATTAATAAATTAATCTTTATTTAGAAAAGATACCTTTAAAATTATTAATACATCTTATATTTTATAAAAGAATAAGGATTTACAAGGAATGCCTATTGTAAACTTAGGCTATTTTACACTCGTCTAAGTTACATAGGGACTTGATAAAGTTTCATTACTTTGAACAAACTTCGAATTTCTTACGACATTGATTCTCTGTGCGGCAAATACTAGTCTCAGTATAAATTTGACTACGTTCGCATTAAAAGTACAATTTCGAGCAGATTGAGATATTTGGCTTCGAAAGAAGCTGTTACCAAAATTAATAAAAATTCCCCAAGTCTTCGTGCATAAAGCTAGTTGTGTAATCTCCCTCAAGGCTTGTCCATTTTTACGTGTTGCTTAAAATTGTTAGCTATACTTTTGACATCTGCTAAACCTTCTTCCAAGGCCTTCGAGGCGTCCATCTTTGCGCTCTCATCAGAGGCACTTAGCAAATTCAGCACCAGATCTATGATTAGAAGAAAACACAACGTTTCTGTACCTGTTCAAAATTTGGTTTGAAAAAACATTTTCGAGTCACAGTGCATCATTACGTACCGTGGTATCGAGACAGAGTCGACACCGTGTGGGGTTCCAAGTGTTTGCGCAGAAACGCCAGTACGGACGACACGTGTCTGCCGGACATGTGTAGAGCGCTTTGCGTAACAGCAGTGAAGAGCACGCTCGTGACTAGGTGCAACGTCAGTGCGGGATCTTGCGTGGAGTTGAGTTCCTCCAACAGAGCCTCCCTGTGAGCGAGCACCTGCGGCCTCTCCTTCTTCTTATCGTACTTCTTTAAGACTAAGCAGCAAGCTGCCATTGCACCGTCGACGGTGTTCAGAAAGTCTTCCACCGTGTCTCCCATTATCGCCTTGTGAATAGCGGTTAACGGCTCCTTCACGTCCGCCGGTAATTCCAGCAACAATTTTTGCCTCGCCTCCGTCGTGAGGTTCTCGCCGACCTGCAGCATATTCTGCTGAGCCGCCAGCTTGAATATACGCGTGACGAAGTCCAGGCCCAGCGACTTCAGCAAATACTTCATCAGGGGAGCCTGATCCGCCTTGTCCAGCTGTTTGACACCCTTGTCGAATATTCTGACGTTCGTTATCAGAACATTCAGACGTTCCTCGACCTCGCTCAAGTTGGTCGTCTTGTTGCTTTGCGCCAGTTGCTCGGTCAACGACAACGCCGACTTGTTTAGCTTCGGCTGCAAATGGTGGGCCAACTCGTCCGCCAGTTCTTCGATCACGGATACGTTCTCATCCTTCGCGACTTCCGCCTTCACATCCTCCACGGATATCAACATGATTTCAGCCTTCCCGACCGCAGTCTGACTAATCTCCTCTTCGTCGGATTCATTCTCCTGCGTCTTCCCTTGAAGATACTTCTTCTTCGTAGACTTGGTTTTGGTCTCCCTGCCTTGGCTACCACCGCCCGCTTTACCGATCGTTGCCTTTTTCCTACGTTCCTCCTTCTTACTCATCTTATTCTCGATTATCAGGTCGGCGGATTTAGACTTAAATTTATTTTCGGCCACATATTGAATCCACTTTCCGCTAGCTACGATCTCTCTAGCCTTTTGCTCCGCCATTACCTCGAGGGCTTTATTTAAAGTTTGCAAGAATGCGTCGGAGACCGCAACCGTCTTTACGAATACATATACGTTGGCTTTTGTTCTCTTCGTTGCCTGTTTGAGAAGAATCTCCGCGTCTTCATCACTGAATACGGACGGTAAGACGGGATAAAGGTCAACGAAGGATCCGGTCGCAACGGCTTCCTCGATGTTGGCGTCAACTTGATCCGTTATTACTGTTCCCACAGCCACGGATTTTAGGAAAACTATATTTTCACTCGGAAAGTGACGCTTTACGAAGCCCGACGGGTCTGATATGCCGAGTCTTGCGAGCGCGTCGTATTCTGAAAGTTAAAGATCGATTGGATCGTTGTTCACCGGGAAGTTTGATAAGTTCTATACCTTACCCAAGTAACCGTTTTGCTTGTAAAAGTTTTCCACCCAATCATTCTGGCTTTTAGAATATATGGTGGGTATGTAAACGCTATTTCCACCCTGCTTTCCAGTTACAACTCCGGGCACCTGTTTTATTTCTTGTAAACCATCTAGAATTGCTGCATATATAATATGATGTGAGTATAGATCAAATATATGTTTTATAAATAAATAGAAACGAGACAGTACTCGATATTAGGAACTTATTCATGCCGTTTTCATATTGCAATGTACATTACAAACACTTACAGAAAAAGATCCTTTCTGGAATAGCACATTGTCCTAATATTGCGGATAACGGCGTAGGCTTTGTGACGGCAGACAAAGCGCCGCGGATTTTTGCTCTGTTTGTAGCAACAAAGCTGTCTGTATAAAAGACCCTAGGATCTTGGGAATCTTGAGTCGCGTGTATTATCTTGCCAAGCTCCTTCTCGACAACCGATTGCAAGAATTCAGGTGGTAAATCGTAAGTGAGCGTCAACTCTGCCACATTAATACAGCCGTGCTGTACGAGCTTATCATTGATCTCTTCTGCGATTTTATTTAGATAACTTCTATCAATAAGCTGCCCTAATATCACTTTTAATCCTTTATTGTGCTTCTCGATCTCTGCTACTACTTTTGTTACTTGCGATAGACTGACATTAAGAATTTGGGCCAAGTCAACTAAACTAACTTTTCCGCCATGGATGTACAGCTCATCTTTGATCTCTTTTCCTAGATGCTGCGGAGTAACGTATTCCTTGCCGTCATTGGTGAATATAATATCTAGGAGTTTGTTCTCTACCAGTGTCGTTATAATCTCTATACAGTTTCGTTCTGAAAGCCTGTAACATGAATTTCATTAATTATATTTAATCACCGCACAAATTTGACAAATATTAACTCGATAAATATATGATAGAGTTGATTGAATTTTTGGACCTTTAACGCCAATATTTCAAGTAACACGAGTAAAGTTAGAAATAAAGATTTTGAAAATTTAAGAATTTAATAATAGTTTTTACGTGATGGATAATAATTATCAAAATTAAATGTTAGCAACCGACTTATTTATATTTATAACAAAAATTGTATTCATTATATCATTATTAATACCATATGTTTAAATTTATCCAGAGCTTTTGCAAAACATATGTGTGATACAAAATTATGCTTGAAATTGAATAAAATAACAAAAACGTTTGTAAATTTATCATAATTCAGCTTAATTTCTTTGCATATTTAACTACCAGACACAGTTATTGTACATTTATTGTTTACTGTAAACGTAGAATTAGGTTAACTCAGAATACAGTGAAGGTAACACGTACTTCTGTAAAGTTGAGCTGAGCTGCGCCTTTTGGAAATCGGCAGCTAATCTTTTAACTTCCTCCCAATCTACACTGGTCATCTTTTGAGTTTTCTGTCGTCCTATGATTTGAGTAGTCGCGTTAAAATCGAAGCAACGTGGCGTCTGCTAATTTTTGTTCCGACAAGTGTTTGAAGCTGTCATGTTGTTATCCTAGGTTCGGATTGCGGTCCGATTCACATTTACAATGCTGTAAACGTCATTCTATCTCTCTAAAGCATGTAATGAACAATAAAGATAGAATGATGTGCTACAACTTTATAAGCGTGAATCAGACCGCAGCCTACGGGCGATATTATAGTCAGATCTTATATTTAAGACCGTCTTAAGTTTATTTTCAGATGCTGTACGGCTCATTTCATTGGCTACAAAGCATCTGTAGATGTACTTCAAATGGTCTTAAATACAAGATCTGACTATGAATACCGGCCTAAGATATGTTTTTAGTTTTAAATAAACTGTATTTATAGGTCCATATTCCGACTCACTTTTATCGATAAAAGCATCTCTAAAAAGTGACTCAGGAGCCACTTGATTGGCTGGGAAGCCTCATTTAAGGTTTATCATTTTACCAATAAAAATGAGTCAGAATATGAACTATAGACTTTAAGTTAAATGGTTTAGCAGTTGCAGCCAGTCTCCACATTTGAACAAACAGCAATATATCACATTAAGTCTATTCTTTCTCCGCTGAACTCTAGTGTACACTTTTAGAACTTAAAAAAGGACAGATATATACAGTTCAAACTTGGTGGAAGAAACAGAAGAGAACTGGTAGTACATCCATGGTGGGGTCAGTTAAGCGAAAAAGAACAGACTTTCTGAATGAGATAGACGGAACTTGTTTCTCGTTCTGCTCCATTTTTCATCCTTCGACATCTCATTATATCCCTTTTCGTTTATGTATTTTATGTCTAGCGTGAGAAATGTGAAGGCCTAATGACAAAGACTAATTATTCGCCACCTATATTCCCCGTATTCGGTGAGTTTCGTATCTGTCGCATTTATATCGGGACGTTACATAACCCCACCACAGAAGCTTTCTGCGATATTTAAACCGCCGGGATAAAATGCGCGGGCACGCGTACAACGACGAGGATATTTTACGTATGTAGCCGGCGCATGTCACTTGGCTGATTATGTTATCATCATCCCCGAGCCCTGCGTCGATAATACACGTCACGAGTTGTTGGTTAAAGCGAGGTTAATCGGAGCTCCTCCTGATACAGTGAAATAATTGAGCCGTTCGCTTTTAACATGGTGGATATCGAACGCTTCTCGTGGTACGTGACAATTTATCATATCATAACATAATTCACGCGTGATATTAAATAGATATCTCTCGAAGTTGGTCAATCGGTCACGTCTGGTTGCATCAAGGTGCGTGAACGAGATCGGTCGACATGGGTTTGCTTTTTTCCAGTTACATCTTCATCTTGCTCTTATACTGATATATTTTTATTTTTATGCGTTCAAATATGCGTACTTGCGGGAACACAATGCAAATGTACTACACGCGTATTTTGTGTCACTCATGTCAGCAGTTCGCGTTAACCTTATGTTAATCGCTCCTAGTTTTGATGTTTGAACATTTCAATACTCGAGCAGCGCAACTTGATCGGACTACATTTGGTCAACGTTGGGCAACAGTTGGTCACTCGATTTGTGCTGCTCAGAAATGTGCTCTTGTTAGTATCGTAATATTCATGTTGATCCCACCATAGACGCGAGATAAATATTACCATTGTTTAATTCAATGATAACTTCTTGGAATTAATCTTTTTAAATGCCAACTACCAATAAATCTAGCCTGTGTAATTGCGATCTGTCATTTTTTTTATTAACCTTTGCGCAAAAGGAAAAGATAATTAGCAGTAATTACTTCGCAGGGAATATACGTAGGGAATATATAATACGTAAATGTAAAAATCAAACGTACGTCAAAGAATGTTGTATATGCGGTAAAGTTATTGATAAAGAGACCCGCACTTCCCGTAACGTATTATTTGCCATATTTTTATCGTTTCACCGCGCGCAGCCGATGTTTATCTTTCGAAGTATGTATGTTCATTTACATTTTTCCTACGCAATCGCGACGATATTGCACTACTTGACCCGACATGAATCGATACTCAATTCTCGAAATCGTGCCAGACGAGCTAGAGAGGATTGTACGATTTCGGAGGAGTACAAAAAAATGCGCTCTCCTCTCTCATTTTGCATTCTCTCTTTCTTATTTCTTCTATCCCGTGTTACATTTTCGGCGGCGGATCCGAGCGCACAGAAAACATTGTTGTGTGCGTCACGCGAACCGAATGCACGTACGTAGCTGCGTAAACGTGACGTGCATACAAATGCGTCGGCAATGTCTTTTTTCCTTTCCTTCTTCTTCTTCTTTCTCTTTCCCCTCGGATTCGCGTGTGGCGGCGTCTGTTGCGCCCATCTGTTCACGCCGGCCTATCGCCATCGGTGTCCTTTTCTACCACTCCCTCTTCCACCTCCTCCTCCTCCTCTTTTCCTCCTACCCCGCATTCTGCCGTTTCTTCTGCCGCACTCTCTTCTCCTCACTTCGTCTTGTTTCAAGCTCGCGTGTTAGCGCGTTCTCTCTTGACTCGTCGCAACTTTCGACCTCTTGCCCCGCAAGAACATCGGCCCTCTCTTTAGTTTACATTCGACGACGCGATCGGCCAGTCCATTGGTCTCGCGAGGCCGATCTTTTGGGTATTCCGTTTTTTGCTTTCTTTTTTTGTTTTCTTCTCTCGCCGATCCTCTCCTCTCTCTCATACTGCCTCTCCCCCTCTCCCCACTGGCGTTATCGTCGGCTTCATCATCATCATCATCGTAGTCACTGCTGCCTCGTGGAGTCGGCGATTTTGGAGAACTCTGTGATTCGCTGGAGCATATGACGTACATGTGCTGCACGCCGCCACGCTCGCAGATAATCGTCCTAACCGGTAATCCCTCAGGCACGATATCGAGTTTCCGGGATTTTATATGTGTAACACGCGGGCGAGCCGCAGGCACGTTTTGCCACGTGCTAATTTGGCCGCGCGCAGGCATCACTTGGCTCTTGGTCGCTATTCGCTACACGCGTTCCACGGCTGCGTTTTTCCACCCAGTCATTTTAGTACGACACGTATTGCTATCGTTGCATAAAACAAATTTCTCAAATTACATGCTGATCCAAACTGATTTATCCGAATCGTCGTATTCGGAATAAATTGAATCAAATTTAGTCGTATGATGATGTTAGAACTAACTTGAAATTATGCACTTTTTTTTTATTGTGTGGAAAGCTTATAACAATACCGAGACATCGCATCAATAATGTTTTAAAAAAGTCCCAAGGAGGAATATATGATTCGCATAAAACTTACCACATTAGAGGGTCTTCCGTGTTAATTATACCTAGGCAGGTGCTCCGAATTTCTAAATGCGATTCTGAGCCGAGCGCAAAGTCTCTCGGCCCAGAATGATCGGACAAATCTTCGTTCTCTGCTTTATCTTCCTTTCTGTGCGAAGAAAGGGCAGAAATTCGTCAATTTCTCTTTGGAACCTCGCGACAATCGGTTCGGCACTGCATTTGAAGTCAAATTTCATGCTTTACGTGCACACATCAGGCGCGCTGTACTATTCTACGATGAATCATCAGACCTAATTAGTCGGCATGTTCGCGTGTGAGACAATTAATAAATTATGAAAGTATCACGAGAGAGAGAAACGCAGCACATAAATTTGTTATTCCGCGCGTCGATATATTTAGGATACGCGATGTCGTGTCGCAAAATTAATATGAGGTCTTCAACTGTTAAAAAATCATTAAAAGCGCTAACTTTTTTGTAAATTTACATGTTTTTATTTATATAATTTTTTAATTTAAGAATTAATTTTAATTAAAAAATAATATTTATTTGACAAATATAAACGGGAGATTAAAACTTTTGTATATGGTTTTTATAAATAATGCCATATAGTATGTAGAATATAAAAAATAGATTACAAAAAATGAGAATACGTGACAACATTACACAGAATGCTCGGTGAGATTTGTCTCTCTGCAGGAACGTATTCTGATAATGAATTCGTCTTTTCATCTAGACACAAGGTCAAAAAAATCTTCAGGTATGGCCGTGTATGAATGTCTTAATACAGGCCGGCGCTTACTCGACGATCATTCGGACGCGTGCATTTAACATTCGTCTTCCACACAAGCTGATGCAATAGTGTAACGTCTTGATACGAGAACTTCTGTTGTCTCGGGCAGTCGATTCTCACAAAACGAGTCGGAAGTATATCTTGCTTTGCGTCCGACGCTCGTTTCATTTATATTGAATGAACTGCTGAAGTAAGTGAAAAAGGATATATAATGCGGATAAGTACAAAGTAAAAATCATTGATTTCCTATAAAAAAATATATTTATAAAGGATGCGTATACATTTGTGAATACACATGAATATGTGTTTAAAATTAATTTGTTGTTCATTAATACACATTGTCCAATGCACGTGATAAAAATACAATAAAAATAATCGACACAATGTAGACAAAATCGCGTGTATACATGGCACAAGTGACCAAATGATATTGACAGTAATAATATGACATATTGAACGTACCGACCGCTCATTAATCTTTTCATTTTTTAGCATTGGCCGAGTAAGAGTGCAAATACTTTGTAGAAAAGAGTATACTTTGTAAGTTTTTTTAATCTCGCTGGCTATTTTTATGATTTCATGTGATAATTGTGCGTAATCACAATCATATTCGTTATAACGACGCACGCTTACGATGGTCGTATTGCAATCGCGCTCACAAACAGGCCTTGTCAGACGCGATATTTTCTTTTTTATCTTTTTTTTAATAAAATAAAGATAAACGTAATAGAGATGTATTTGCATATTTCAATTAATATAAAGCACGATCAGCTTTGCAAATATGTTTGCAAAAATGGAAAATTAGGCCGAGTATTTATAGAGTAGACGATAAAACGAGAAATAATGGTAATGGGAAAACAAACTATAAGGTTTGACAAGTTTAATGTCCTTGTTTCGGAAAGTACGTCTTTTCTTTTCTTTATTATAGCTTGATCCGCGGATGTCAATAATCACTTTGCTTCCCCCGTCGAGATAATTTATCTTTTTTATCGCATAATAATTTCAAAATATATGAAATATGATTTTTCCGAATATATGTTGGTATTAGTAGCTTTTAAGAGCCAGATAATGCAGAAATATAACTTCAACATATTTATAAATACATTTCGTTTGTTGTCATTCTCATTTCGCGTCTTCTATTACATTTTACTGTACATGTATGTATATGTGTGCGCGCGCGCATCGAATTGTATGTGCACAGAAAGAAAGATCAACTCGTATACTGATTTATTTTCTCTCGAGATTTAATTTCTTGAATAAAAAAGTAAAGGAATACGGATAGGTACACGGCGAACGATATCAAAGGATCGTCAATTTGTCTAGGACTATTAAACGTTTGATTTCAGTGTCAAATAATGTCAGGGTCAAAGTAGCGCGTATCGCGGAAAATGCACATATAAATAGTGTACAGGAATATTTCAAGAAGGTGCAGATAAGAGGCATCGTATCCGATATCGAAGTTGAATATGTGCAGGGATGTTTGTATATGTAACGACACGTGTCATTATCAGCATATAGTATGTTTTAAAATACACTTTTAAACGTGGTGCACATTACCGCGGTTAACGCGACGGCGGAGTTAAATACATTTTGCTTGAGACAAATGGCTCTTTAAAATATCGCACGTTAACACGGAAAAATACAAAATTAAGTAATATTAATACATCGGATTAATATTCCGCGAGATTAGTCGTTGTCAGACAAGGGATATTTTTTAAGGAAAAATTAACAAATAATAGGCATTCACGATTCAGTTCAATATATATTCAGTTTATATATATATATATATATATATACTTGTTACCTAGCTTGGTGATATTTGTGAAATACTAGAAGTCTGTTCGTTTTCGCTGCACCGCTGAACTAGTGCAATAAGTTGAAGTGAGAAAACATATACTTATCTGCGATGCAACGAAAACGAACAAACCTTAGGTTGATATTTACGAATTATCAGAAAAACTAGTATTGTCTGACGTGGACTTTACATATATATTATAGAACTTGATATGGATAATACTTTAAGGACATCAACTAACTCTAATACAGAGGATCTATTACGGTTCTCAAAATGTGGTGGAAATTACAAGACAAGTGTGTGAGCGAATTTATTAAAATATTTATAATTAGTCAATGCCTATTGAATTTGCTCACTTTTGTAACTTTTATTTCGTCTTAAGAAATTTAATAGCTCAGTAAATAATTTCTTTTATTCTAACGATATGATTGGTCGATTTTCTTACGAATGTGTATTATAGAACTACATAATAGAGAATATTGTGGTCAATATACGATGATGCTATATCCAATAATAGAGTTTGCTACGGTTTCCAGCTTATGACAAGTTTATTTTCGGACAAGAAATTTTCTTATTGAATATCAAATCATTATACGTCGGATATCGGACGACGTTTGAATAAGTATATCTGTTCAGGGGATCGATTGTGTATTTCAAAACGTAATGAGAATTAGGAAAAGGAGCACGAATTTACTAGAATATTTATAATTTCATGTTAAAATAGTTTCCAAAAATAGTTTCAGGAACAAATATGATTTCTTCGAATCAAAATATATGGAAAAGCGCAGATACGACGGGAAGTGTAGCCTAGCAGCATTTTTCTACAATCGACGTTTGATTCCTGCGCACCTTTAATTTTCGATTAGATTCTGTCTCCAAATGTATCGATCCTGAAAAGAATCAATTAGCGGAAAAATCGAGTCGGAGTCGATTCTTTTGAAAAAAATATAATCAATCCTTATATAATTAAATCAGAATCGTGAATGCCTATATCAGAGTAAGTTTCGTTTACGCGGAGACACACCGCGTTTTCGCGAGAATCGTTGTGGAAAAAGCGAAATATATTTTCGACCATGCGCACATTTGCTGCTTTATTCCACGCTTTTGCCTTTACGAGCACACAAGCAGATGTTATCTCTTCAGAAACTACCAGGATAGGTGATTAAAATTTTCGGAGATTTATTGGTCCGTTCATCGTTGTATACAGTTTATCTTGCACCGGTGTATGAAATCGGTCAGGTGCGGTCAGTGAAATCGTCAGGCTGCAATCTTTGAAGCCGCGTCGTCAAGTACTCATCAAGCTCGCGCATCGCTGACTTTTGTGTAGCAATAGCGTCCCTCGCATGCGGCATACGTACGCACACGCGTACACGTTCGTGTCGCCTGCGCGATCTTCGATCGATCTCATTTCATTTTAAACGAATTTAACGAATAGGTTTTCGATGTGAATTTTGATTGCCTAAGTCGCTTGATGTCATGAACCGTCATGATAAGCGATAACTTCACTCAAGGACGTTTTCAAAAAGAGATATGCAAATATGTAGAATCAACAGAATTATTATATTATAATAATTATATTATAACATAATTATTATTATAATAGAAGAATTATTTGGCATCTCTGATGTCAAAAATATAGAGAAAACACAGTAAGTTTCGAGAGAAAGGGGAGGAACAGAGAAAAGAAAAGAGAGATACATAGGTAGATATATGTATTTATTACATATCTCTCTAAGGCTTGGCTCTCTGAGGACGTAACAGTAAATACAATTGCACATTTACAAATGATATGTTATCTTAAATTGGTCGAGATACTAGAAAGAAAATTTTGAACTTGATTTGGACAATTAAAACTAAAAGTCAAATGTGTCAAATGCGTTGAAAATGAAGAAAAATCCTTCGATACGCGCAGAAAAAAATAAGAGAGAGAGAGAGAGAGAGAGAGAGAGAGAGAGAGAAGAGGGAAGACTAAATCGGATCGCTTCTTTCGAGAGTCTGAAATAAATAATTTATATCCACAGTTCACAGATATTTTTTATATCAGCGGAGTTAATCGGCGATAATCATCATCGATAACGATGACGATCGACGGGGAGGCTGGAGGGCCGGAGGACGCCGGTGATGACGACTTCACGCCGGGTAATAATAACGTTATGCCGATGATTTACACGATCGATCGCGCCGAGCCGAATAGCTCCGAGGAGTCGGCTACCGCGGCTGGCTACGTTTATCGGGCTGCCGACAACGACACTTCCGGTTCGGGCGAGACCGAGGTCAACCTCCTGCTGGCCGGTACCAACGGACAGAGCGCCACAGTGACGATCGATGCGTCGATCGGCAAGCCGAGAAGAACCGACGAATTAGTACAGACGCGAACGATGCGGACGATGGATCACGACAAGAGCTCGAACGGGCCCGAGGAGGGTGCCGGTGGGACGACCAGGCCGACGGCGGCAGACCCGCCGGACGGCGGTCTCAGGGCCTGGATGATCATGATCGGCAGCTTCGCGATCAACGGCGTGATCTTCAGCATCATCAACACCTACTCCCTCATCTACATAGAGCTGCAGAGGCGACTGACGGAGGCCGGCGAGAGCGAGGTGTCTTCCAAAGCAGGTAAGGATTCGTTGCGCGAGAGATACGTTAGTTACACTTTGTTCTGGACTATCTTGTACCGGGGCGAAGGGAGGATGGCGTTTCAGTCCGACATCGCCGGCATGCAGCAGAGCTGCGTTGTGCAACTTCAGTTTCTATAACTGATGAAAAGTCGGTGACAAGAAATGATGTCTCTGTTACCGCGATTTGGAATATTCGCGTGATTGTAAAATGCACGTTGGCGAAGACGAGAGATAAGGCAAAATAGAGGATGACGTTTTTTTTGCTTCTGTCCCTCTTGTTAGTAAAATTAACTTGTTGATAAAATTGATATCTCTTAATCGCGAATCTTTTGAGGTGGAAACTAGAGCTGTATCAATGAACTATATTAAATAGGAGGGGTGTGTAATCTACTTGTTGAATCTTCTTGCTTAATTGGTTTTATTACGTGCTGTTTCTTAACATTGTCATTGCGTGCCAGTCGATTCGATATCGAAGTATCGAAAGATGCTGATAAGTGACTCCTTAGATTTCGTCGAAATATCTTCGTGAGGCTTACGATTTTGAGATTACGGCGATCTGAGATTTATTCATCGATTTTGGCAGCGTTAAAGTGTTTATACGTCCATGTACCAGACAATAAAGCGCGATTATATGTGATTAATTTTCCGGGTGCACTTTCTGGGTTTCTTTCTGCAAAAATCCGCGGCATTCACTCGCAACGACTGATCATCGATCTTTTCCGTTCTTAGACCTCTAACGATGATTCTCTCGACAAATACTCATTCGCGAGATGTATTTATATTTATGTAATATACTTATCCAATGTAATCTTTCGTACAGATAATTAATGAATGATATTTTTAATTACAAGTGATAGCAGGCGGCACGCTGAAACAACTAGAACATTAGCTGAAAATTTCAAAGAAAATTGTCCATTATGAGTATCCACGAGCTTTAAGTTGTTCTTTTGACTATTGTACTTCTGACTGTTCTGACTTCTGTAAAATTAACATAATAACGACTTTAATAACCATATTATCATGTTATTATCTTTAATAACTATATTATCATGCGATTCTCAGAATTATTGTGATTCTTTGATTTTAGAAAGCGAGCGGAAAACGCAAGATATCACAAGGCCACTTTGTATCTGCACTATATAATAATTACATTATCTAATCGACACACGTAACCGATCATTTGATTCGACGCGAAAATGACTAAATAGACCATTATCATGACTTTATAATTGTTCACGCTGTTATGAAAATTTCACTAAACCAAACTCCACTTAAGATTGACTGAAGAATATAATTTTGTTTCTCTGAAGCTTAATTTATTCATTTTTTCCAGTCGCTTGTACCACGTAAGTTATCAGCGTACGTATATATTTTTGATAAGCGAAAGAAAATATAAATTTGAAATTCGTCTGATAATTCATTATTAAAGTTAGGATCGATCAGATAATGTGTAAATACATGCTTGATACAGATATCGCTCGTAATCGCTCGCAATGATCGTTCGCGCATATCAATGAATATTTAATAATTATATCGGATTAAAATTTTTTATTTGGATAGCACGGATACTCAAAGGGTTCATGAGCATGTATTGTACGCGAATACATGTAGTTCGATGAACTTCATTATCTGAATATTCTGAAAAGAATAGCCTTTCTATTTCGATAATGTTCTATCTAATCCTCGTTGCACGAGCGACGTCTTTTGTTACTGTTGCAGATTACGCGTTCGCATTCCTTCTCCGTTGTCTTTTCGACTAAACGACTCGATCGTGCTTTGAATCGATCGAAATATTCGTTCGTACTTTCCGCGTAAGTTTTTATTATAATAAGATAAAAAGAAAAGGGAAAAAAACATGAGCAAATTTTTCTTATTGAATATAGAACAGATTAGATATTGAATAATAATAAATTAGTAACTATGACGCGTGCGAGTTCATATTTGTTATCAATACATTTCTACCGCGTCGCCGATGTTTACAAGAACCATTTATCGCGAGTAATACGTTGTAACATTTTTTATTTATTTTCGCGCTATTGTCTAATATTTTCTCAATTCGAATCGCATACTTTTCCGCATTCAAGTTGAATCTTTCGGAGACGTTTCTTCTCTATTCGATGTCTTGTTATTCTTCGTCAGTTAATACATGCACAGGGTCAACCGTCGACGGTAGGAAAGGACTGTCTCCAATCGATATATATAAAGTCACTAACGTGATTAATTGTTTACATGAGGGGCACTTTTAAATATCAAGGATCTAAATTGTTCGACAATTAGACAGTCGTTTACGGTAATAGAGGTTAATTCATGCTACTTGCCGATGTCGCCCGACCAACAAGGAAACCCATAACAGTGTACTCCTCAGATTTTAACGAGCTTTGAATTTGTCTAGTTATAAAAACTAGATATGTTTATCTTCTTTTTTATGAGCATTCACGCACGGGTACCAGGCTGAATTTACAATAAGTGTAATAAACCTTCAGTTTTTTGCTTTTTCTAAGCAAAACAATTGTAATTTTCAGCACGAAGCGTTCCCAGCACTACACCGCACAATTCCCAAGATTTAAGCGTTACTACAACTTTTGCAGCGCGGAAAACGTCCGTTTAACATCTTTTCTCAGAAATTACGTTACATTTTATTGCTTAGAGAGGAAAAGATTAAAGATTTGCCATATCTATTGTAGATACGGACCAGGGGGTGAAAAGAATTTGTTACATTTTCCGAGCAAGTGTCTTCAAAATGCTCGCTCCCTTCGCGAGAAGAAATGAAAGTCATAAATTGTCGACCTAGTTATACGATGTACTAATTTGCAGCACACGCCCGATCGGTCGCTGCGATCATTAATTGACGTAACTGTTTATTTGTCTATTATTGACATGCATACTGTCTCCAGCATTATCTTATTATTCTCAATAGGATAATGAACGTTGCCTGATAAATTTTGACATCACTTAGCTATCTCGAACTTATGGCTGTAATTAATCGCCCCAGGATCATCTCGAATCTTCTTCGTTATCTCTTGGCACTTTGTCCATCGCGCGAAATTGCTGAAATTATGAAATTATTTCAGCGTTGGTAGGTTCGCTGACCATCGGAACCACGTTCATCCTGTCACCGGTCGCCGGTATACTTACGGACAAATTCGGCATCCAGATAACCACCTTCGTGGGAGGCGCGATTGCATCCGGTGGGCTGCTTCTTTCCTCACTGATTGCGGATAAGGTAACATATATTTGCATAAGAGTATATCCGAATGCCTATATTAACGTACTATTGAGCATTTTTAATAAGTAATAAACACATACAGTGTTGCGTAAACTGGATGCGTGCAAACGTACATTCAGCTACGAATATAAAATACGTTGTTTAACATATTGTAATAGTACGAGTAAATGTACGGTTCTTTAACGTACTTATTTTCATATTGAAATGAAACTGAACAAAAGAATAGAAGAACATATTAACGTGCTGTCATCGGCTGGGAAACCAGTATTGAAGACGCGCAGTTTCTTAAAAAATATTCGTATATACTTTCGTAATATTTTTCCGTTTAATAGACTGTAAGTATTTGAGAATGCAAGAAACGAGTATAAAAATGATAGAACTAGTTTTGGGCCGTATGAAGAACAAAAATGGTGAGATATTTTTGTAAAGGTAATTATAATTTCATGTATCATATATATGAAAGACTAGAAATTGTGTAATAGTAAAATAGTAAAAAGTTTCAATTTAGGGAATGGTATGTACATGATATGTACAATTAGAGCCATTAGTGAACACAATTTGGTAACGGAGCTTTCAAGCACTATATGTTATAATAAAAAAATATAATGAATATGTAATCTACATCCCGAACTCATTCTTTCAGGTGGAACTACTCTATTTAACATATGGCGTAATGTATGGTCTCGGCGCAAGTCTCGCTTACACTCCAAGCCTGGTGATTTTGGGTCATTACTTCAAGAAATATATGGGACTGGTGAACGGCATCGTTACGGCCGGTAGCTCCATATTTACGACACTTATCCCGTACCTGATAGAGTTCCTGCTGCGGCGTTTCGGGCTGGAGGGAACGCTGAGGAGCCTGGCTGCGCTCACCGCACTTATTATGGCTTGCGCAATACTTTTCAAGCCGATACCAGGTATGATATCAATACTGTTATCGGCAAGGCCGACAAACAATCGGTTCTCTATTTTTATCTTTCTTTAAATATTTCAGTAAAAACGACATCTGTTATTCGAGGCCGGTATCATTTTTATAATTTGTTTTATTTGTCATAACAAATGCGTAAAACTTTTTCTGCTTCATGAGAATCGAATTTAGAATTGATTCGGAATCGTAATAGTTGCTGTTCAACTTTATGTAATGTTGAGGAAGAAGTCAGCGAACATTTTTTTTCCAGTAAACGTGCCGCAAGAAGACGAAAGACCGAAATCCAAGGCACGAAATTGCATGAAAGAAATCGTAAACGTGTCCATTTGGAAACGGAAAAGATACGTCTTATGGGCCAGTTCTATTCCTCTTGCTCTCTTTGGGTTAGTTCGTTATTTACTTTTCATCGCCACGCCAAATCACTTATATAATTTCATTCCCCAATAATATCACATATTCCAGTCTGTTCTCATTAATTTCCAACCAAAGTAACGATCGTCCTCTTCTTGCCTCGTTCTTCGCAATTATGCTATATTGAAGTGCATTTTCTAATCTCTATTCGGGTTAATGTAGATAATAGTATAGTAGATAGTAGTATTCGTCGCTGCGAATATCGAGCCTAAATAGATTATTCCAATACATTGACATGATAAGAAAGTAGTCGCCGTCCAGTTATTTTTGTTTACGAAAACTGTTGTTTTCGAATAATTTTTTTCGTTTTGGCCAACAATCAATCCATGTGCTCGTTATGCAAACACATTTATGTAGATATGCCCACTGTACGATTCCGATCGTTTACTACTCTTTCAGATACTTTGTCCCATACGTTCACATAGGAAAGTTTGTGGCTATGACGTTCAAGGACGCTGATGGGAAACTGCCGGTGATGTGCATCGGCATCACCTCCGGCATCGGTCGTCTGATTTTCGGCTATATCGCTGACTTGCCGAAAGTGAACAGAATACTGTTACAACAGGTAATTATTTCCAATGGCACCTTGCAATTGCCATATGTCTGCGTTTTTCTGGCAGAAAATGATTGAAGAACTAAAGTGTTTTTTCTTATCCAGATATCGTTTATAAGTATCGGCATTCTTACGATGCTTCTTCCGGTCACCAAGTCCTTCGTCGTGTTGCTGGTCATCTCCCTTGGCATGGGATTATTCGACGGATGTTTCATATCGCTGCTCGGCCCTATCGCCTTTGACATTTGCGGCCGCAATGGCGCGACCCAGGCCATCGGCTTCCTCTTGGGGATGTGCTCGATACCTTTGACGGTCGGTCCGCCAATCGCCGGACTCCTGTACGACCACACCGGTAATATCCCATCCGATTTAACCGGTTTGCGTTGCCGCGCGTGGAATGCTCATCTCATACTTTGGTTCAGGCACCTACGATCTGCCTTTCCTGTTAGCCGGCGTCCCCCCGATCGTGGGGGCGTTAACGATGTTCCTCATAAGATGTGTGAAAGAAGACGACGACAGAACGATGAGCGACCCTTGCCCGGAGAATCCTCCGACTAAAGCGGATTGCCAGAATGGTTGGTAGAACAGGTACCTGTATATCATTAAATTTAATCTCATTGTTACGCTGTGTTAAATTGCTAAAGCGAGATTACCTGTAACACTCTCCGGTGTAGGTCTATCCTGTATCAACTTATCACCTTCTTAAACGTTCTGTTACAACAAGTTTGAAGAAGTTTTGGTTGCTACTTAAGAAAGTATGCTGATATGACTTGACTTGTGTTTATGTCTTAATAATCATATTAAGACGCAAGGATTGTTTCTTATAATAGTCACGATAAGTACGTCTATAATTTGAAGGAAAAATTTCTTATATCACTTTCTTCAGTGTTATTAGTTTTAAAGTACCGGTCTTTTTTCTTCCAATGTTCAGATATGTAGCACAGGTAGTTCTGTTAGATTTAATTTGCAAAAAATACAATCGCGTCACGAATGGAAATTTGTTGCTTCAGGCTTGTTTTCACGCTTGCCTTTCTTGATTAGCAATATTCAATATTTAATAGCTACTAACTGTTACATTTGCAGACAAGATGAAAAGTAATGATCTTTCATCAGTATTCAAGGTTGATATCAAGCAAGAAAAGGTGTTAGAAACACAAGGAAAGTCGACCGGAAAAAACATGCAATTATCTTGGTACAGATGTCAAGATATCAAGCAGGACGAACTGGAGCATTGCAAAAATTATGACAAGATCAACGTTCACTGTAGGTATTCGGAAAGCGTACCTTTGCTCCATCACGGAAAAACCTCGCAATATCCGCGCACGAATCTCTTCGAACGAGCGACGCGATCATCGATACTCCTGACGTTTTGATCGGGCGAAAGAGATTCGGTCGCACCACAAGCATGTCATTGTTTTAAGATAATGTTGCAATATTGATCACATCACGTCCATTTTTTCTGTTGATTAATTAAACGGGAGTTACGGGATGCATTTTTATTAATCTAATAACGATTTATTTACTCGCGCAGGAGGAAAATTCACATGCGAGCATGATTTTTTATTTATTCATGAACGAACACGCATTGATCCCGTATATGCGGTGTCTATCGTGCCACTCTTGCGTAGCCTATAATAATTTATATAATTATTATAATTATATCATACAATATTCTTCATGAGAAAATGTGGTCTACGATAAATCAATCAGCAATATATGAAAATAATATTAAACATACAGTGAAAAAAGAAAAAGAGAGAGTGTGTGTGTGTGATGCGCGTGCGCATGTGTGTATGTGTGTGTCTCTATATTACGTTAAAGAAAAGTTATGAAGATTAATAATTTAATTTTCTTAAAGAATCGGGCAACTATATTGATCCTACGACGTCATAAAACCAATATAGCTGTCCGAGAGAATCGAGCCTTAAAGTAGTCTCGGGATATTGTTGAAAAATATTATTGAAAAATTTAATCATGTAACAGAAAGAAAGAGTCGAATAATTGAGACAAAATAACAATTCAATAAGCAAATTGACTGTAGATTGACCGAAAATTTGATCAGAATCTTACATCAAAACTATATCCATCTGTATTCAGCTTGTATTTTTGTTAGGTTGTTAAAATCCAGTGTTAGATTTGTTACTTTTTTGCCATCAAAAATTTGTACCAGGCTCTGTTCGAAGTCTGCGAAGTTGTGCAGGTTTGGCTATTTAATGTGTATTTTAAAATGCAATCTAGTAGTAGAATGTTATTTCACGAGACAACTACCTTGGTATGGTTGGTAGGATTTTAAATTAAAATCTTGATTTATACACACGATGTTTTTCATTCGCCATGAAATTTCTTAAAATGAAAATCGGTTTTAGAATAGATAAATACACAATATACAACACTGTGGACAAACCCATAGTGAGGAATGTGCGTATGTTCAAGTCCGTCTGACAACTAATCTGATACGGGCTTTGAAAAATTAAAAATCCGACGATACCAAAGAATTTCGTCATTTTAGAATGTGTAAATTACTGTTGTAGCAATTTTGTAGCGTGTTGCATGATGCGTACGTAGCTAGTTTTGGAAAAACGTACTTACCGAAACGGTGAATTTTAATTTTCCAATTATAGATCAAGACGTAGCGAAATATCGAGTAAGAATAACATCCTTGAAGACAAAATGAAGCACAGTGAACACCAACTAACGGTGACATAACATCAGTGTTACAATTTTCCGTTCAACAATATAAATATAACGTGTGTGTTATGTAACATTGTTAAATGAGAAGTTATAACATTGATGTTACGTTATCGTTAGTTGATGTTCACTGAGCACGTATTAACCACAGTCGTATAAAAGATGCCACAATCACCGTGTAATATTATAATAGCGTAATCGTGCAAGTATTATTACTTCGTTTAGAATGTGCCTAGTAGATCATAGCAGGACGCTGTCACAAACAACGATTGTCGAAGTGTTCTAAATTTCGCTGTAGATTTTCCTCAAAACTGTGAGGATTAGCTAGCTCTTTAACATGGAGTCTTGGGTCTGAGAATTCGAGGAAATAATCGTTACTATATGAATTACGTTTTTCCAAAATCGCTTGCGTGAGTACGAGCGTAACGCGTTTGCGACAAATTGTATATCATCGCGCGCGAGTCTAACGAAATTATTTTAGATAATAATATTCAGAACTTGTTGATTTTCTCTATTCGATAGTAGCACTAAATTGTTAGTCAATGATAGACACAGGCGCGCGAAGCGCGTGTTGAGCTTTTCTGATGCCTCGATGTTCGCGATAGCGTATACATCTTCGTAATTACAGGGTACAAATTAAAACTTAGATTCGATAGTTACAAATCGCAAAGGATCGTAAGCACGATTAATGATGCACGACATTTATCTCATGTCGTCATGCCAGTAGAATGATTACCGAATATCGGCAAGGTAAGCGACAAATGAGTGTATGTCGAGAAATTATTAAGATTGTGTACAAATCTATTTTTTTTATTCTCCACGAGAGAGTCGATTTTTGTGTATGTGCATTATTAATTAAAATTTATCACGTGTGCAATATATAATTGGTGAAGTGAAGGTGAACAAAAAAGAAAGCGAGTCATTTACATTAGTCAAATCTTTTTTATCACTCACAATCGAAGGAAAAAATAACTTGTAAACAATTATTTTGTTAATCTGTACATATAATAATTTTATTATATTGAGTTATCATATTCCTGTGATACTTAGCTCACCTTTTAACAGGAAAAAATCTGCTGTTTTGTACATACAAATCCTTCATAATGCATATTGATAATGGTTGATAAATGAAATGAAATATTGTCTCCCAATTACATTTGTAATATGTAAATGTGAGAAAGGGCAGCATTTAATTGATTGTAAATTTTGCCAGAATCAATACCTCATCCGGATAGAGCATTTATTTTTGTAATTTTTAATGGTTAGTTATAGAAATTTCATCACGATTGCATTGTATGATTATTACGCTACCGCCTGATTGTCGTTTGTGTTATGAAGAGGATCTGCGTTTGTACGAATTATTTCAATAGTATTTCGATATTGCGTGCAGATGAACTGTATGATGATTTTGAAGTGGAAGAGACGAATTTTTGTGAAGGAATGGTTTAATTGTCAGTACACACGATCGTTGTCGTACGATTAATTTATAACTATTTTATATATAGAAAAATATCTTTTTTTGGAAAGTATCAATTTCTTGTAAAATTTTTTTTATGTAAGTAAATGATAAGCAAAGACATATATCAAATTGAATATTTGTATAGGAAAAGAGGAGCTACGTCACAGATACGATGCTCATTATTTTATATAAAAAGTGAAAATGTCATGTATGATGATATGCCGACACGTGAGGAAAGTAATCCCAAGTATTCATTTGAAAATAAAGATTCATCTAACCTAACCTGTCTCGCGTTGAGTTGTGTAATTTAAAGATTGAAGTCCCTTTAACTCGCTGTTGAATCATTGTTATTTTAATGCAAGTTCTTGTGACTTATTCTATTTGAAAACGAAGGTCTATTCAAACTGTCTTCCTGTTGCCATTTAACGATTTCATAGAAACTTCGGCCTCCGCGCAGTGACGTTTCGGTGCCATCATTGGCATCACTGCCTCCGCGATGCAAGATCTTGAATCGAGGGTGCGATCCATCCGCTGCAAACGCTTCGAAATGCCCAAAAAAAGCCATGATTGCTTTATACGGCGCTTTGAAGCATTTGCAGCGTTTAATAGACCGCATTCCGAATTGTTTGTCGGATGTAAAAGTTACAGGAAATTACTGGAAATTCTAGTACTTTTCAAGTATCTACTAACATAAATACTAGACTTTGTTCCGAGAACAATTTAACATTGTCATTAGTTTGCTTCAACGACGGGTCAAACGAATCTTCTCTTTTCAACAGGACGATCTAACAGCTATTCAAATAGATATTTCGTCTCTGCTAACAAAAGATAAAAGTCCTTACGTGTGATCTTACAATGCATGTAAATTATATTCTAATAGAAGACAAAAATATCAGAGTAATAAGATTTGATAATGACATTGAATTGAATCAACATCGTCGTGGGAATTATTCGATTTCGGCAACATCGAGGATACGATCGATCCTGCGATAAAAACAGAATCGAACATCGATTCATGGGTCGACATTGCCCGTCTCGATGTGTGTGTGCGTGAGGCTCGCTCAGCTGTTCCCAGCTGTTCCGCGCGACAGAGAGCAAAAGTGGCGATCAGAGACGTTCGTCGAGGCTGTCGTGCGAGAGATCGCATTCGCGTACGTGCGCAATTTTCCGCGCTCACGTCGTCGCATTTATTTTTAGTACATAACGAGTTTAGTGCCATGTCACGTCGCCGTTACGCACCGACATCAGGATTTTTGCTGCGTAACTACGCGCCACCGAGTTCCTGAGATTCGGACGAGCGAGATCGTGCGAGGGACGCGCACCGCTCGAACTTTGCCCGACTGCGACGAATAATCCTCTCGAAACGGTCATCTATGCGTTAACCATCTCGGCACGCTCGTTCGGGCCGGGTGATCCGCACGTTGCTGGGATTCGTCGTCAGCTGGTAGGCTTCACCGAGATCATCATGAGGAAGACACGTTCCAACATTTTCCGCGATATTTACTATCAGCCATACGATGACAGCACAAGGCTTAAGCTTTACTCCAGCAGTAAAGGTAACTTGTCAATATGTACACTTGTAGATAGCAGTGTGTTATCATAAAATCACGATAACAACCTTTGTGTTGTAAAGTGTAACGGGTGACATCACTCTTGTTATTGTTTCAGTTCTTGTTCTTAAGAATTCTGTCGTGTCATTGGGGAACTTTATTTAATCGTAGAATATAAATAGATTAATCAGTCACAGATCTCTAATGTGATTATTTATATTGTTATTTAAGTCATATTTTTATTTGATCCTTTTTTATTTTCGAGCGATTGTTGATTTTAACGGTCATTATAGATCCTTTTGTATCCTCTGACTGCGTATTGAACGACACAAACCTTTGAAAATACAGCTATTTAATCACTTGATCAGAAGTTTATATCTATCCTATTAAAGATAATAAGTTATTCTCTCTGAGAAACTGTTTGCTGTTTTACAGCCAGTCTGCAGCTGATACAGCGTATGTCATTACTGAAGAGCCTGAAAGTCCATAATGGTTGTGTGAATTCTATATGCTGGAACAATAGCGGAGAGTTAATACTGTCCGGGAGCGATGATCAGCATCTTGTTTTAACTAATGCATATAATTACAAGGTATGTTTTGAATTACATGGTTGTCATTATATGAAAATTGGAAAGATGTTTCATATACAGCAATACATATTAGAATAAACTCACTGATTGATAGCAATTATTATCCTGCCAACTAGCACACATGTTGTGTTTGTTTTAATTTAGCAGCGAAAGCATTATATCACAGTATAATCGAAGCATATTGTCAGCGAAATAATTTCGTCACTTAGTTTAACTTGGAATTTATTCCTGGACACTGTCAAAGTGGATTGTGCCAAGGTTATTTTTGATTTTACTTAGAAACCGCGTATCCAGAAGTTTAATTATGCAGGTGGTCCTCGAACGTTTTCAGTTTCAGTGAGTTTCGAGGACGAAATATATTTATATGAAACAGCAATTACCATACATCTTGTTATATAATTAATGTGCACACATATGTTTTTCTTTTCTACTTTATTTTTATTTCTCATGTCTGACTTTAACAGGAAGTATTCAGATATTTATCAATAATGTTAAACTTATCATTGTAATTTCAAGACTATTATTTTATATTTCATTATACACAAATGTAAAAAAAAAAAACAGGATAATTATTGATTTGGTATCAGTAAATGTTAATAACGTAATGTTGTGTACTATGTAGACTTTATGAACAAAATTTTAATAGCAGCAAGTATTATACTGTGTTGCTAAGCTATAGGACACAAAGAGGAAGTCATACAAGTTACATTGGCATTAAACCTTTTCAAGGAAATGTCTTGGACAGTTAATTCTAGCCAAGGTCTAGACATTGACATAGTTACAAATGTAGATGCTGTGCCAAACCAGTAAATCCTTCAGATGTACATGTGGCTAAATTTATCATCCAGAGCCATCAGTTTAGATCCACCTTAATAATTAACAGCAGTAGTATAGTACCGTGTGCAGTATATCGTGCAGCATATTGCTGTAGATCTCTTTTGAATATATTTCAAGAAAATATACATATCGTCGAGGTGGTTTTTTCATTTTTATACAGTTTATAAGAAGATGGTACAAAAGCGCTTTATTCTTCTGAAACACATCATTAACAGAAATTAACATTATTTAATTAAGCATCGTATGTTTAATTTGAAACAATTACAAAGAGGATTTCAAATCCAAAATGTAGCGCAAATTTCTCTGTTCGATTCTTACACGGTTCGGTCCTTACGTGGACTTTTCTCTTTTAAGGTACTAACGGATTATAAAACCAGCCACAGAGCAAATATTTTTAGCGCCAAGTTTTTGCCTAACAGCGGCGATCATCGTATCGTTTCTTGCAGCGGAGACGGCATTATTTTGTATACAGGTAATTGATCAACAGAGACGTTCGCAGAGAACGAATTAATGAGACCGAGTGTTCTCGCATTATCAGATGTGCTGAGTGCCAATATCGCATTTGCAGATCTCATGAGGCGTACAGAGACGTTCCATAATCAGTTCACGTGTCACACCGGCACCACTTACGAAATAGCGACAATACCCGGTGAGCCACATAATTTCCTAAGCTGCGGGGAGGACGGTACCGTGAGATGGTTTGATCTCAGAGTGAAGGACAAATGTAGCGCCACAAGGTGTAGAGAGGTAATTTAACGTCTGCGTTAGACTGCGTGAGCTGCGCTCGAAAAGCACGCTTCGAACTTGTTGTTGTTTATTTCCAGGATGTGTTAATTTCGTGTCAAAGAGCCGTAACTGCTTTGTCCGTGAATCCGGTGTCGCCGCATCAAATAGCGATCGGGTGTTCCGACAGCACCGTAAGAACGTTCGACAGAAGAACTCTCGGCACACCGGCCACTGGTAATGGACTTGCTGGACAACTACACGATAGCGCGACCAGAATGACATATTTTTATGTACGTTCCCTAGGCTGGACAGACGCGGGAGGTTCAGTGAGACCGTTGTGCAGTTTCACCGTGCCGGAATTCGAAGGCAATTCCTACAGGATCACGTCGTTGAGCTATAGCCCGGATGGACAAGATGTCCTTGTCAGTTACAGTAGCGATCATCTCTACTTATTCAGTATCAAGGTAACAACGCGTTAATGTAGCTGCAATCTACCTACATTTCCCACGATCAGCCACAACTTCGCTTCTTATCGCTGATCAACGTGTGTCATTTCAATCCTGAAATTCAATTTAGGATCAAGGCAGCTTGCAGCTGCGGAAAGACGCGACGATGGGAAAGGGAAAAGGGAAGAAGCATCCGTTAAGGTCGCCCCAACCAGTTCGTCGCTTGAGACTGCGCGGCGATTGGTCCGATACTGGTCCCGACGCGCGCCCAGAAAGAGAAGGTGGACGCCGCAGCGGCACAGGTAAATCTACGTGACTTACCTGCTGTATATTTTACGCGAGTAATCTCGACTTGTCGTTCATCCAGAGATCGCTCAAGCAAGACCGGTGCTTCATACTTCCCTGATGCAAAGGATGACGGACGTGCTCAGCAGAATGTTAAACGATCCGGCTACTCGCGCTGCTCTCAGCGGTGGCGGCGAGGACAGTTTGGAAGGTGTTATCGAGCAACAGGAAGGTATTCAAAACACCGAGAATAATGGGGAATTGAGTTCGGAAAGGAATGACGAATCGGCTGAGTCAAGCTCAGGACACGACGGCAATAATGCGGGAACGAGCGGTAGTCGAATGAAATATTTATTTACCTCGCGCGCCTACAATAAATTTGCTTTCATTGATATATATATATTTTTTTTTTTTCCTTTGAAGGAACTATGAGTTCGCACATCGATCGAGCTGGATGTAGCACAGCCACCGACGAAACGACGGACGACAGAAGAGCCGAAACGATAGAGGTCGAAGAGCGAGAATATGATCAGTTAGCCTCGCATAGTGCGTCCGCCGATGCAAACAACGGGAATTTAAACAAGTCCGACGATGTTCCTATGGAAACTGAATCTAGTCAGAGCGACGCGCAAGCCGCTTCCGCCTGTTCCACGAGTAGTCATCATAGAACCAAGCATGACGACGTGTGGGACGAGAGTGGAAGCGCGAGCGAAGCTTCGCGCGCCAACATAGATAGTAAGCAGGAAAGTATGATGGAAAATCTGCAGGATAGATTAACAACGATGCGAGATGGTTTCCTCGAGAGGTAAGACTTCTATTTCTCGATGCTCTCCACGCTTTCGAGAATTCACACCTTGACGGAAAAGCAGCAGCCAAAAGAACTCGCGCTGGTAGTCGACAGTATTCTGCTTCATCTACTGCTTATTACCAACGTGAGCTTTGATTGGCTGCCGCTTTTCTATCAAGACGATGAGAATTCTCCCTAATGCTCGAAACATGAAAATCGTCGAGCTTCCGTCTTCGAGATAAACATCTTAATTAAACATAATGAAAATCTGTCGCGTACGATGATCCTTAATTAATATACTTAATGTGTATAGACATGGCAGTGAACCTGCCGTGAGTTTAACATATTCTGACAAAAGCTCAACTAGCGCTACCATATCGCTTGGCGTCGGCGATGAAGTAACTCGCGACAGTTACCATCCAGGTGAGCACTTACCTTCCTTTTCTCTCGCTCCTTTCTTTCTATTCCCTCGCATTCATTTTCGCACAACGGCTCGTTTCTCAGGACCATCTGGAAGTTGTAGCGATGGAACTCTCGACGCGGGACCGAGTAATAATCACAAACATCGTTACACCGATGTCAGGGAGAGTAAGTATCAGCGTTCTCTGTTCTCCGATCCGTTTCGTAGATTCTAATACAGCGTGCTTGCATCTTCGCAGAGGCTGAAGAAGTCGTTGATAGCGAGGACGAGGATATCCAGCCAGGTGAAAGGTCGGTTGGTCCCGCGACGCTTATCTTTCTCTCTTTGAATTCCTTCAACAACGACGAATCAATATTTACAGATTATTAAATCCAGTGGAGGCTGAGATGGACGAAGCGATTGCCAATGCTCGCGCGTCGCAAGGGCACGAGACGTTCGACGAGACCTACCTGACTGAGCTTTGCGTGAAACGGAAATACATGGGCCACAGGAACGCGAGGTATGACTTGTATCATCTTCTCTAGTATCATTTTCAACTTATCACTCGCATAACACACCTTCACCTCAGCTCGATCAATGAGACAGCGAGAGTAAAAGAGCGATACGCGAAGCGTACGCCTTCGAAAGTCGTCAGACGACACGTGTGAGAAATGTGATACAAAAACGAAGCGCACGTTATCATTAGTTGCATTAGAGAGATTAACACGATTTTGTCAAAGTACGCCAAGGAGCTGTTGAGGGGCGAGGCGATGCATTTGTGAGCCGAATCACGGTAGTTTATAGTCGATGTATCACCAAATCTATCATGACGGACATGATAACTTCTTTTTATCTCTCTCGACCGACCGAATCCTGCCGTCTAATCAAAGTGTCTCTCGTCTACGTTTTGAACGTGTCTGGTAGATCGGAAGCCAAATCATTGGCCCGTGTAGTTCCGAAAAAAGCCTCCGAGCGGACTGGGCCGTGTATCGTTAGGCCGCCGCCATATTATCTGATCGTTCGCCCTTCCTCCGTTTGACTCTAGTTTCTTTAGGACCATGATCAAGGAAGCGAATTTCTGGGGCGACGATTTCGTCATGTCAGGTAGTGACTGCGGTCACGTGTTCGTGTGGGAGAGGGACACCGCCAGGCTTTGTATGTTGCTCGAGGCGGATCACCACGTTGTCAATTGCCTGCAACCGCACCCGTACCTGCCGATCCTGGCCACATCCGGCATCGACTACGATGTCAAATTGTGGGCGCCGGTGAACAAGAAGGCAGATTTCGACGAGAAATTCGCCGAAGACGTAAGCAGCCGTCGTTTCTTTCAATTGTAAAAGAAAAAAAAGGAAAGGAAAAAGACGATTATCTTACCGTCGCTCCTTGTGTTTTTCAGCTGAAAAAGAGAAACGCGGTCATGCTGGAAGAAACCAAAGACACTATTACTGTACCTGCGGTTTTTATGATCAGAATGCTGGCATGCCTCAATCAGATACGCAGAGGTAGTGAACATTTATATTAGTATTCTCAGGATCTCTTCGCGGTAGTTCGCTATACTAACAGAGCGATACATAAGTAGGGATAATAAACCGAAGATTTCGGGAAGTCTTCCATTGTCGTGCGCAGGTATTAAAGTACGTGATGGTTTGCTTTGGATGCTGTGAAGCTTTGCCTAAGTTCCCCCGCATTGGCTGTGTACATGCTCAGATATCTTAGTCTTGATTACAATCTCGGTGAATCGATAGATTTTCTCTCTCTCTTTTTTTTTTTCTTTCACTGTATATAAAAATATATGACTGAAGCCTTCGGTGTTTTTGTGTTCTTTTAAATATTTCCTTTAAAATTATGAGATATTCTGTTTTAGTTTCTTGTTTTTAACGCACATTCGTTATCATTAGCCAATGTGTTTTGCATTTGTTCGATCACCGAGTAGATTCCATCCAATAACGGACGGATTAAGAAGAACAGATTGAGTGTCCATTTACCGAGATTTCGTTTCTTTTACTTTTAATTGCTTGAAATATCTCCCAGAAATGTTATGCTATTTATTATACGAAAAGAAAAGAAAAACGGACATTAAATATTGTTCGTCATTCCGAAAGATAGATGTGTTGTGGATTCGATATTTTTGAAAACGCGCGTTTGGTAAGTGTACTGCCATTATCAATACAATCAGAATGTTACAAAGATGTAAGAAATTATATAATTAATAAATTGTCATTTTTTTTTATAGATCTGACGCTTGCGCCATGTATATAAGAACTATAAGTACCAAAATTAATTTGTGATGGACAATTGCGTAATGTAAAGTCACACTGCCACATGCACACTTCAAAATTGTAAAAAATAAACTTTTCGATAAAGAAATTGGCGAGATATTTTTAATATATACGTGCGATATATTAAACACATTCTTTGTTGTTTCTGAATTCTTGTAAAAATTATACTTATTAAAGGAAGATGATGTGTACGAAATTTCCGACTCCGATGGTTGTCAAATTATTTTTCAATACATTCTTGCTAAAATTGCTCCGAATAATAATATAGCATGGAATCGTGTAAAAAAATCCTTCGGAAGGAAATATTAGAGTCTATTTATCTTTATTAATCAAAGAAGGAGATATGTAAGTATCTGTTCTATTTGATCACTATATGAGCAAGGGAGGTATTTATGATTTCGATGAGAATGACGCCATTTAATTTATTTTACTCGTATTTGCATATTAGAAATATGTGTATGTATATGTTATGTTATCCTATATTACATATATGTGTGTGTGTGCGTGTGCGTGCGTGTGTGCGTGCGTGCGTGCGTGCGTGCGTGTGTGTGTGTGTCTATACGATATCTCGTATTCAAAATCAATACTAATCTCCGAAGATTCGCCTCTAGTCGGAAGGATGGATTAAAGTCGACGATAAATGGAACGAATAAATGATTTTTTCGAAGCGAGTCGCACACTACACCGTAACGAGCAGTTCATGAATCTAGTTGTCGGTTGTTTGTTACATTAATCTTCTTTGTTGAAACTAAAACGTCGCAAGTTGCGCACAATGTGTTATTCTTTACATATTATATCGGACAGGATAACAGAATCTTGTTATTAAGATATCTTTACGGTCTGAGGAAACGGCCGATAAATTTGTACAGATAAAATCATGCAAAGTTATGTCGGTTGTTTTGTAGGTCGAGGTCGCAACAGGAGACGGAGCGGCGACGAGAGCGGCGAGTTACGAGGTGGCTAAGTCGTCTTCGACGATACTGCAAATGGTGACGATAATAAAAGTATAATTTGCGTATCACGATAACGTCTCCTTGCGCGGGCGGCGTAGGATACCTTGCTCGGTGCCGATAAATCTTGCATCATATGTGTGACGAATTGAATTTCTGAGGCTCGGTATCTTAGATATATATGCAATAGCAGTCAAATCGAAAATTGCCCTTGTCATTGCCATTTCACGTGCTTGTTTATAACACGGAATTCCTAGTAGAATCGTGTTGTTTAGCGTGCCGAGGAAAAAACTAGTTTTTTTTTCTCACTCTCTGTATATACTTTGCGTTTGACGTGATCCGCGTGATTGTCGCGATACGTTAGCCCCTTAACGATAATTTTCATCCGACTCATACTGCGTGTTATCTATGCATTACGATTTTGCATATTTATAGATAGAGATCGCCGTCGAGCGGAACAAGCGGCAGTGCGGCGCATCGATAAATATAAAAGAGAAAACGAAGGGAGAAGGAAATGGAAAAATTAGTATGCTAGTCGAAAGTTTGCAATAAGGGACGTCTCTCGTCTCTGCTACACGTATACTTTTTATTGTGTATTGTTTAATATTTATATACGAAGAACGGCAGAAGACTGCACTGTCGACGATCTTTGACGGCAGTGGTGGCGATAGACAAAAATATCGATTCGTGTAATCGGTGAATTGTTAAGATTTCGAGAGACTCTGCGTAATATCACATTTATATATGTAGACTTGAATTATTTATTTTCACTACAACGAGACATAAAATGCGCGCGCGAGAGCGTGTATCAGGAGTGTAGCAATAAGATCTCGCAGAATTGTCTCTTGCTCGAGACAAAGGTACGAGATGTATGGCGACTGAGTTGTGCGGAGCTGCTTCTTAGAGAAAGGGATTTCTTACTGTTATCGGCATACACGATGATAACCCCTATGAATTCTCGCGTGCATTTCGCAGAATCGCTTACGGTCATTACACTTTCCGTTTGTGTCACAGATGGTATCATCGAGATATTCGAGGAATGAGCGGATCTTAACGAAGTCAGTAATACGATTTGCACTTAACTTCGTAGAGAAAGGAAAGACGCGAGTCCGTTAATGTTAGAACATTGAGATAAATATTATTGTCGTAAGGCGAACTTGTAAGTGCCTTACAGGTATTCAAATTTAAAAAGAAGAAACAAACTGAAAGGAAAAGCAATAACAAGAGTAATAATCCGCTTGAGATATGTAGGCAGGTTTTTTGCGAGGAATCAAGGATTTCCTTGTAGATTGACGAGATAATAAACGCGCACTATTAATACCGTATCTCGCGTCGCGTCGCTTGTGCAATTTTAATACGATAGCTAACATGATAGAGCGATCGTTAGATAAGTAACTTACATGCTAAGAGTTAAACGACATGTCTTTACAATTGTGTATTACGTGAAGGGTTTGTTTGTAATAAAAGTGTGAGAATGAACGCAGTTATGTACTGAGTTGTTATCGAGTTATCCTCCATCGGCATCATCCTGAATTGTCCGATCCTTTTCGTTCTTCCCGTTTGTGTTTCGCTTTACTGTTGAATAAATTCCTTCGACCGGATCTTTCGAAACAAATTCAGAGTTTTCCGCAGAGAAACGCGTGTATAAACCGAGGAAGGAACAAATAAAAGCAACGATTGGGAAGAAACTGAAATGAGGGAATGCAACTACGCTTTTTCAACTACAAAAGTTAATTTAATATTATAGAAATTAAAATCACCACATTGCTTCGCAAATAAATTAGTAATCAAATTAATAATAATATATAGTAAACAGATCAGATAGAACAAATCAGAATAGCTTGGGATAAAGTAGAATCTGTAAACATTTCTGAACTCGGGAGCTTGCAGGAGTGAAAGATTAAAAAATGTCAGCTGAGGATTTCTAGCTGCGTAAATGTCATCACTCATTGAGAATGAATAATTCGTCGGAATGAATAATTATTGTTTACAGTAATGACGCACACAAAAATGTAAACAAATTGATCAATTACACTTTTTTCTTGAATCTTCTTTTTAGGCTCTAAGAATTATTGATTGCAATTGGTCAATTTGCTTACTGTTTACGTTTTGTGTGTGTGTGTGTGTGTGTGTGCGCGCGTACTATACGCTTTAACGAGATAGGCTTTATCATTGGATTAAATTAATCCCTTATCCACAATTTTGCTTTAAGACGTAAGCAGTAATGAAATTGACCAACTATGGTTGTTTATTAGAAGAATAATCGATCGTAATTGGTCAATTTGTTTACTGCTTACGTCTTAAAGCAAGATTGTGGGCAAGAGATAAGTAATGTATGTATACGCGAGATGTCCTTTTTTTTACATTTGATCTTTTTTTTTTCATTTTATCCTTGTTATCCCTTGTTATCATATTCATTCATTTTTAATTCTACAATTTCATCAAGTTTAACACGTTCGCTAGTAGACCCTATTTGAAGGACCTTTTCCAAGGAGCACTTCATATTTTTATTTCACATAATTACATAAGATAAATTTCTAGTTTAATAATGTGGACATAGAAAAAAGAATTCTTGCTGTCACGCAAATGTAACGCTGGTCTTTTGTAAGGACGAACGTGTTAAACACATATTTAAATAATATCGAGTGTGTACACCGAGCGTCGTTAATGCAGTCCCATTTCCTAACATAAGTGACATCTAAAACTACGTTGCATCTAAAGTTATCAAACTGACAGACGTTGACAAATCAGCTGCTCTGCAGCATCATCGTCAATTTCTCGAATAACCAATAATCATGGTGCAAATATAGATTTAGATACGACAAGACTGATCGAAAATGTTTAATATCACTGCTAGGAAACGGGGCTGCATTAATGACGCTTAGTCTACATACATTGGGTTATTATCGGCTCTTTCCTCGGTAGTGAAAAGAAAAAAAAAGTGTTTCGCTTTATTTCGTTCTGCGGTAAATGTCGTTCAATATCATTCGGAAAAGTTCTTGCGGCAGGTCGCGCGACATTTGCTGTATGTGAGCATTCAATTGGCCGTACGTCTCCCTCTCATATGCCAAGTATAATCTCGGCAGATTTAGATCTTGGTACAGTTTCCTCACGCGTTTCACCTTCTCCGAATCGGTGGACCCGTAACACTCCTCCAAAATATTACGTTGTTCGGGAGTAACGCGTTGGAGAGCCGTGACGGCCAGCCACGTGCACTTGCCCTCTTCTATGTCAGTGCCGATTTTGCCGAGGACCTCGCGATTCCCGTAGCAGCTCAGATAATCGTCCTGGACCTGGTAGAAGTGTCCTATCTTCATCAGAATTGCTGTCGCTTGTCCGAACAGTTTTTGACTCTTTATCCCGACAAAGTGCATCGCTACTATCACTGGCAGAATGAACGTGTAATATGCAGTTTTGTAATAGGCGATGTCGTCGTATCGATCCATCGTAAATCGATCCAGGTTGAGCGTTTTGCCGAAATTTGTGAATTCCAGACACTGACCCATCAAAGTTTTCATCATGATCTCCTGGCAAGTCTCCAGTATGACGGTGTAGCACTCTCGCCCCTTGAAATGCTTCCGTAGTAGATGGTACATGACACTCTCTATCAACACAGCGTCGTTTATCGCCGTTAAGCCTACGTCCTCGTGCCGATACCAGCACAATTGTTTGCGGCGGATCAACGAACGGTCCTCGATGTCGTCGAGCACAAGGAGGAAGGCCTGCAGCAGTTCCATACACCACGCTAAAATCCGCGCCAGGTAAACGTTCTCTCGAGTTATCCGGTCAGCGGGTGTCAGTATGTAGTAGGCGTAGAGCAACATCAAAGCGCGAGTATTTTTCCCACCCGGGACGTTGTACTCGAGTACTCTTGTCAGCCACTCGGTAACGTCCGGAAGATTCAGCTTTTGACTCACGCTCACGATATCCTGAACGATGTCCGGCCACACGGTCATCAACTCACGAGTCTCGTTTTGACTGGTTAACTGTAACGACTTCGTCGTGACACGAGCTTTTTGCATGTTATCCGATCCGCTCGTATAAACTGCTCTTTCTACTATTTTATTCGTGTAAGATATGTATCGCAGGCTCATCGTCCTTGCGAGGTTTTTACACTGTGCCTGTTTGAGTATCAACAGCAACCGATTCCGTGCGATGGACATTTTCAACGATAAAAGGCACCGGAGTACAAACAACGAGACGATAGCGAAGGAAGACTAAATAGGACCGCTTCAAGCCGCTCGTATATATAAGTATTGACTACAATTTGCGCGCGAGCGTTATAACGTTCTGTGATTCATTCTATCATATCAGAGTTGTTTTCATTTTTAAGATTAACATTAACGTTGATTGCCACGGAACTTTTCACGATCCTGGTCTAAAAAGCCAATTTGATTTAATCAAGTAATGAAGCGATGAGATAACTCGTAGTTGGCGTCCTAAACAACTAAACTTGGCAACTAAACAACCTACGAGATATCTTGTAGTTGGTAGTCAACGTGTTAAATAAAGAAACACAATTAGCAGAGCTTTCCGACCTTTCAGTTGTTGTTATATACCTTGGACATCAATTATATAACTTTAATTACACAAATATGCAGATTTGGGCGGTTTTAATTTTTTTGTCAACTAAGTTGAATTAAAAGTTAATTGTCCACAAGTCAATTGATTTTACGTTAAAAGTTATATAAACAAAAATTAACTCGATTAAAAGTTAGGTTAAAAATTAAATTAGCTTAGTTTAAAGTTAAAAGTTAATTATGCAAAACGGTATGTGTATGTATGTGTGTACGCGCATGCGAATAATGCAAATGTATATTTTTATAAAAAAATATATACATATTCACGAACATGCGCAGTAGATAATCAGGCAGTTAAAATCACATAAACACATTTTGACATAAACATATCTAATTTTAACTATTTAGTGCGCATGTTTGTGAATTATAAGTTAGCATCGTCATATTTTTTGTTTTATTCTGAAGTATGTAAGAGGAAAACTGTTGCAATTGTCCTGTGACCGACTATATATAGAACGGATTGAACGGAAATTGAACAGAAAAATTTTGCCAATTTCGCAATAATTATTAAGGAATTATTAACCCATTATTAACGAATGAACACAACACGTCTAAGATCGTAAGGATCATAAAACATCTTTAAAATATCTTTATCTTCTTATTTAATAGTATAACGGAAAAAATCTTGGCATATATTTTCTCGCTTCTGACATCATTAAACACGAACGTCAAAGCGACTATTCCGAAGCTTTAATCTATATTAATGATTTCTGAATGGAGGACGATACGTAATTGTGGAAATGCACAATCAGCATCATACGCCGTCTATTGTCGAGGAGATCGTCAACAAATGTGCACTGTCTTAAATGAGATTTCGTCTGCAAAGTTTATCCCACCGCATCATATGCATACATACGCTAATATTGCGTAATAAATTTCTTAATAACTATTGTGGAAATTTACAAAACGGTGGAGGACTTTTCAGTTTGATCTGCTCTCTCTATCTGCACACAAGCGTTTTGTCTTTGATTAACACCCTGAATATTATAATAATGTAGAAATACTTATTAAGTTTAATAAAAGTGTCTCTCAAAATTATAATCAGTTATTTTCCTTTTCGAATCATCATATATTAGGCGACTCACATTAAACAAAGGTATCATTTTAAGATTGTTTTAAGATGATATGTAGCCAACAAAACGACCTTATGTTTTTATGTATTTCTTGTTAGAAACATTGTTGGATACTTACTGGCCAAGATCACATATAAGTTAAGTTCGTCCCAAGTTTATTAAGAAGCGTCCTTGGCATAATTATGTGCATATTCCAACCGTTTGGTGCTGGCGAAAAAAGAAGAAACCGGCAAGTCATGTGTGTTATGAGTTGATCTTTATTCATCGAGATGCGAATCACCACAGACATTTTTTCCTAAGTAAGTTTTAAGACTCAAGGAGAACTCGAGTACACGAGAATTCCCGGAACTTCGACGAACAAGAAGTCTATTAGCTTGAAAATAATACGCACTGCCTAAGCGCTAGGAACACGGCGACATTCCGCTAAAATCTCAATGACACATGTGGCCCTCGAGTAGGGATTGAAACTGATCAAATCAGTTCATCAGTGATGACATCAGCGATTACAAAATTTCAGTTTCCAGTTTCTCGAGAGGAGAGGACGAAAATGAAATGAAAAAAAAGCAAAATTACGTAAAAATAGTCGCGAATCTCTTCGGTCGAAGAGCGACGTAGCACGCGGAAAGTGTGTTATTTGATTGTGGACAGCTGCGTATATGTATGTGTATTTCTTTTGTTTTATTTCTCTGAACATTAGGACAAAATTGTAATCAATCACTTATTCGTAGATCTAATAATGTTTGTAATAATGAAGTTTAGCGTTATATTAGATGTACGGATGAGAGAGAGAGAGAGAGAGAGAGAGAGAGAGGGAGGAAAAGGGAGAGGAGAGAGATAGTTAATAATCTTTCATTTGTTCGTTCTTTTTTTCTTTCTTTTCGTGACTGCCGAAAGACGCGATGTCGTGCTCGTTCATCGAGCCGAAATTCCCGCAAAAAGTGGACGAATAAAAAATGTATCAAGAGAAATCGATTTGCACAAAATATCGAATGCCTCATCTTCGAAATCGATCATCGGTCTGTAAAACTTTTGCGATCCCCCTTATCTTTATCTTTTCTAATATGCAGCTTAAAAGGAAAAAAAAAAACAAAATAATTTCACCGTGTAACAAGTAATCCCTTTTATAACTGAACGCAAAAATTAATTCTCAAATTTCCAATCCTCTCAATTCCTGAAGATTAAAGCGAATAAATAGAAACAGGAATGGGATAAAATTGAACGTTCGCGAAATGACTGGCGCGAATAATTTCAAAGATCGGGCTTGCGCGAACAGTAAACGGAATGGCTTCTCGTCGATTATTCTTAATTCATCCGTTTGTTGCAGGTTGTCGCGTTCGTTCGATCACTTTCTCGCATCGTCGCGATCGTCTCTCCGAAACGCAGCTGTCGTGGTCAGCAGAGCACGACCGAGAGTCCGAGTACAAGTCTTTGGGCCTTGCCGGGGCGGAATCGATCTCCTGGGATCGTTTGAGTACACTTCAAGTACTCGGCCAACTGCGCTCACGCTCTTCGTTTCATCCCGAATTCAATTTCAAATTCATGACAAGGGACGAAGTGTGCCTTCCCCTGTGAGAACGTGCAAGATTAGTAGGATTGAATTTTCAACGAAATATCTTCAAATTATTGAACTCTCAAGATAGATATTATTTTAAAATAGAACATGTAAAATTCACCAATGAGAAGAGGTTCGCGTGAGAAGCAGATTATATGGGGACGCGTGAGACCTCGGTATCGCTCCTCTATATTCTTAGATATCGAATATATTCAAATTTGGATTCGTAAGCCACACATACATACACACACATATACACACACAAATATCGAGCTGAATTCCGCCTCCTCTGACACTCGCAGAAATATGAAACGTGTTGGCGATAATTGGCCGAGTACAAGTCGTTAATTTTGCGACTCGATTTCATGCGCATGCATGTGTGACAAATTGCATTTGGTTTGCACGTTCGATCGGAGAAAGGTGCGGATGTTTATCTAGATCAAGACAGGACAAATCACACAAGACCGACACTGAGACCGATATATCTTCTTAGAGGCTAAGGTGAGAGTTTTCGCGACGTGTTTTTGAGAGGATGGATTCTCGGCCGGGCGCGTTTCACGAGGCTCGACGTGACGCGTAAAGTGGATAAAATACTATTACGAAACGTATCCTCCTCCACACTCGCGTGCGCGAGCGTACGTGTTTCTATATAAAAACTCGCTATTTCCACCCTACACTTTTTGTTTTCCTCCTCTTATTCCTCAACTAGTAAGATTACAAATATCGCGTGCCGCGCACGGATATGCCGCGGTTTCTCTCGTAGTAAGAAAGGGCCAACGGAAAATAGCGTATTTTTAATTACAATCGTCGTGCAAAATCGGGCGAAACGGCACTTTCGCCGTCTTCGTTATAGCGTTAGACGCCTTCTTCACTTGCGGGTAAAAATACAAATGCTTGGGCGAGATTATCCTCATCGCTCGCCATTTGCTTCGTATCGCGCACACAGAGATGCGTGCGCGTGTGGACTATGCATGTGTACATATGCGACGTATGTTACGTACGTTCATGCGTGCGTGCATATATGCGTGTGTGTGTGTGCGTGCGCGCACGACTGTGTACAACGTGGTAATCATGGTAACAATATAACAATAATGTAATCATCACAATGATAATAATAATAATAATAATAATGGTAGTTACAATAAATGTAATGATATTAATATTATCGTGGCAATCGTTACAATAGTTCGCACTGTGTGTCGGAAGGAACGTCACTCAGACCTTTTGAGGCATGGTCGGACCGCGCGATGCATTTGCATCAAACTTCGCCGAGCGTCATTGTACGAGGAAAAGAGAGATCAGCACGAACGCATCGGCCTTCCGCGTGTCATTTTAACGTGCGCAATTTCCACCGTGTGGAGACGCACTTCACGGAGCCCGGAAATATCATGGAGACGACGCAGGCGGAAACCAAGTAGCTGACAACTGAAACGGGCGAGCGAACTAAAGTTGAAATAATTACGAGAGAGAGAGAGAGAAGAGACACAGAAAAGTTTCTTTAATCTGAAAACATCTTCGTAGTATAACAAATGGAGTATACAAACAAGAGTTAACAATATTACGAAACAAACCCGCGACCTGATTACAGCGATTCTCGCGAACGTGAGGATGGTATAGCGCGAAAGGAGAGAGAGATCTGCAGGAGAAACAGAATGGATGAAGTCTTAACGACTCGACGCGCCATCCTTCCCCATCCGAGTTTGTTCCGCGCATTCGTTGACGGAAAGGCCAGCTCGATCGCCGATCGGATCGTTTCTTCGTCTTCGTGAATCGTCCGTCGTTCGGTTCTTTCTGGAAGTGAACCGACCTATACCTCAAAAATACTGATCTCACGCACTGACGCACGCGTCTATATTGGTATCGCACAGTTTACAATCGTAGGGCGCGGATCGCTAGTTGAAAACGTGCAACGATGAGAAATCGAGGATCCGGGTAGGACGCGCGAGCTTTTCGAACAATTTCAACATTTATTATCGATGCAACGTCGGTGAGTTTCGGAGATCCGACACTCAACGAGATTACACCGGTCTCGATTCTTGCCATTTCCCGAACAGCTGCTTGATCCGTCATCGTTACATTACATATCTCTCTTAGTACTTACGCGTAATCGCTAATCAATAATTCTCACAAGGAGTNGGGGGGGGGGGGTGGACAAATGAAAATCTCTCGAGCACGCGATAGATAGATTCGTTACATCTTTTTCTCCTATTTCTCTTTTGTCATCGGGACAGCAGCCGCGAGAAACGATGGAAAGTCGATTCGCCGACTGCTGTGTATGCGCCACGTTTAAACAGATCGCCTAAGAAATAGAAGCCGAACATTCGAGAGATAAAGGAATACGATGATGACGAACGATATTGACGCGGAGCAAACTCGCGTGCACGATATTTTTAATTGCTTCTTTTTTTCCTCGTCTTCGCCGTCGCTACGAATTTCACTACGAATATCTCGGGGATCGACTCGATTACAAAGTCTCTCGTACAAAGATATGTTGTTTATCTATAGTACAAAAGTTAGCAGAGACAGTTTCGTGGGGAAATTTATAACGAAAGTAGGATGTGTCGCTGCATCGGATATATATATATATATCTCTCTCTGAACTGAGTGGGCTTGCGATGCTCGTGCGTTATGATTTCGTACGTTTATAATTTATAAACGTGAGTCGAGTGGGAGCAACAGCAGTATATATATGTACGTACGTATGTATGTATGTATGTATGTATGTATGTATATATATTCTTTTTATTCTCTTTCTTTCGGGGTGTACGTCGCGCTTCTATGAACGCGCAACGAATTACAGTTCTCGAATGTGAGATTGTGACGTAGATTTCTCTTAGACGCGCCGTGGATGCCGGGCTACAGAATTGCTGCGTCGCGCTGGACAGCAAAAATCAAAACGATCAACGATACTTTATCGATACGCATTACATTTAACGATGAAAAACGAGGAACTAGCAGTTTTTACGATTAGTTCGAAGCTAGTTTGAAACAAATGGCGTGTCGATCAGTTTTCACGAAGAAGATATATTTACAAGAAAAAGTAATCGTCGTAGTATCGGCGTAAATATTCGAAAATATGAGAGGATGTGGTTTCCTTGTGCGCTATTTTCAAGTCGCTGTCCTTATTCTCACGTAATGATAGTCTCTGTTTCGTTTTTATCTCTTCCATCGAACTGGGTGCGAAATCTCTTCGTTATCATTGACCGAAATACAAGGAATATACGATAGCTACCGATTAAGAATTCGATCGACAAGGGCTAAGGTTATCAAGGATCCATCCGTCGTTCCACGCGTGGCAACTAAATTCTACGGCATTTGTAAACGCGCGCTAACGTAATCGCGAGAAGCCCGTGTTATAACAATCGTTATAATCCTCGATTCTTGCCGTTCTCGCACAAAATAGGCACGAGTACAATGAGCTCCGAATCACATACTCGATATACAAACCAGAAGGACAGCACAACGACGAAACACATGGTCGAACACATTAAGCTTGAGATTCCTCGCCACGCTTTCTTCGTTAAAACGTTCGTGCGTTGGACGCGCGACTGGCAGCGAAGGATCGTTCACACACTGGCGGGGAGAAATTTGGAGAAAGGGATTACAGTACGAGCCAAGATGGAAATGAGCAAACCGCTACGGAATGTGAGAAATCTGGAGATTATACATATAATACGGTATAGTTTTACACTATATATCATATGCCAGTGGTGTAACCAACGATTTCGCAGACTCCGTTGGTTGGCGAATTCACGTTACGGAGATCTCCGGAGATTGAAAAAAGGACGAGAGAGACGGAGAGAAGAGACGAAAGAAGGGAAAGCGGGGAAAGTAACAGAGGAGGAGTGAAATTAGGAGAGGGGGAAGAAATAGAAAAGAGAAATGGATGCAAAGAGATAAAGGACCTCAAAGTTCCCAAAAGGCCTCCGAAACGTCAGTCACGCCACTGTACACGCGTGTCAGAAGAGAATTGGCGTCGTCGTTCGGGAACTGCCAGAGAGCACACGTGCTACGTCGAAAGAGTAAAGTGAGAGACGTTTACGTTGATATCTTGCAAAGGAAGAGATAAATTCCGCCGGACGAACGCGGGAAAAGTTCTCCGAGCAGAGAACGGCGCGCGAATTTCCCTTCTGATACGTGCATCCGTTATCCTGCACTTTGCGTCAATACAATGTAATAGTTTCGATACTCTATTGTACGGTCTTAATTCGAACGAGTTCCTGAACCTAGGCTCTCGAGCGAAAGATAACTTTCAGCGAGAAATCCGACGCGAGCATCGCGAGACACGTCCCCCTCCGCGCGTTTGAAGAATCCCTTCGGTTACGAATTAACTATCAAATACAAATAATAATGATATTTAGAATAATAATAGTAGTGCGCCGCGTGCGCGCGCGCGTGCGCTTCTTCGAGCTCTCAAAAACGGTGGAGATATATCTAAAATCTTGGATATATCGACTTTAGCCATTCGATCGTTATTGTTAACGTCCGTAAACTCGTATTTATAAACGTTTATAATAAAGACCGTTACACGCTATATATATATATATATATATATATATATATATATATATATCATATACTTTGAATCTTCATTTGAATGCGAGTCGATTCGCGCTAGATAAGGTGAGAGCGGGATCGCTTTCCCTTTTTTCTTCTTTTTTTTTCGTTTTCCTCTCCGCGACAGCGACGACGTATAATATAGTAGTAATAGTTGTTAACGTTAATGATAATCGTGTAATAACAATAATAACAAATCAATGAATCGTTTTATACAACAATCACACGTAGAAGCGACAAATTAGAGTAGTAGAAATAACTATCCCTTAATCGTAAAACTTTATGTTTATATTTATATACATATGTGTATATATATATATATATGTTTATTTATATATATACACATATATATTTCTTCATATAGTATATATATCTGTAATATATTAAATCGTATCTGTATCTTGTATCAATATACATACGCGTAGGTGCCGCGGGTGCGCGTGCGACCGCACGAACGCAACCTTCATAGTTAACGGCATGTCAGCTCGGTGATGCATTGTTATCGGCCGACGCTGCACTCGGGCGGCTTAGCGATCGCTCGACAATTTCAGGTCGTCTCTCTCTCTCTCTCTCTCTCTCTCTCTCTCTTTCTTTCTTTCTTTCTCGTTTCTTGCACGAGAGCCGGAAAATGCGAAAATACAATACACAATGTGGATGGAGATACGTTTTTCACGCGACGTGCGGAAACACGCGAAAGCTTCGAGACGCTGAAAGGAACGGAAACTTGGCGAACAGCGCTGAGACTTTCCTTCGTGACTGATAGTTCCAACGGATACGGCCGTTAGTTCGATTAGAATAACGATGCGTTATAATGATTCTTGGCGGCTTCCAACATTAATGATCGTCCTCGTCGTCGTCAGTGCATACGTATTCACGTTCGTGCACGCGCACGCGCCCGCACTCATATACATGCTATAACATATATGTATAGTTTTTTTATATTTATATTTATATATATATAACAAGATGGCAAAAGTGTGTTCATCCGATTTCTCGCAGATAGAGAGACTCCTCATTTCCTTTGCTTTCTTTCTTTCTTCGTCCATCAAAATTACATTATTATATGCGTAAGTCATAATAGTAATAGAGAATGTACGAACGTGTAGAAAGATTCGTCATTATTAATGAAGTAAATTCGACAAAAAACGTTTGAATCGCGATCACCGATCAGGCGATCCCCTTTTTCGCGCGGTGAATAAACCCACTGGCCGCGCGTCGCGACTTGTTGTTCGTGGTGTTTATATCACCTCTCTTAACATTCCCCAAGTAATTCAATAAATATATGCCCATATATAACATTAATAATGCAAAGAGAGAAAGAGAAAGAGAGAGAGAGAGAGAGAGACGACAGAGAGCGAGAATTATCGTCGATTTTTTTTTGTCGTTTTGTTTTAGGGATCCTTCGTCTCACCTCCTTCTACTTTTTTTTGCTTTTCTCTCTATTTTTTTTTCTTTTTTTCCCTCTTTCTTGCTCTGATCCCTATCAGAGAGGGGGAAGGTTTTGCCCTACGGTATTTCCTCTCGTTGAATCGTGTTCACCTACGTGCACTCGGGGATGCGAGATCGACTGACAAATGAAATAAGGGGGCTGGAGAGTATGGTGGATTTATGTCTATGTGTCTGTACGTGTTCGCCCACCGTACGGGCGGCGGCGTCCGTCGCGGCTCGTCGGTCATCCTTACGATGTAAAAGATCGCTTCCTTTTGAACAATCGCATGTCCTGCGTTAATAAGCGTAATACGCTTGGACTCGTGTCTACGGGCCTGTGTGTATGTGTGTGTATGTGCGCGCGCGCGCGGGGGATATTTGCCGCAGCGAGATGCGATGGACTCTTCTACTGAACACTGCAACCGCGAGTTGAGTTTTTGTCGGCTCTTAAATTTATTATGGTCGCAGCGGTGTTCGCGCGCTATACTTGGAAGGAACATTACAAAGGGTCCTGATCGAGTTATCTCGCGACGGTGGTGGTGCTGGTGGTAGTCGTATATCTCGGACGCTGCTAGAAACGCGATAGAGACCGCGTTATAGAATCAATCGAAGCTTAGATAATATCTCAAACTTACGCTATACGTTAGTACGAAGCTCGAAGTACTTTCTTGCACACATCGCTAGGTAAAAATGCACAGATTCCCCGAAAGAGATATTAGAGTACGTCCGCGTCGCCGTTCCCCTTCACACCACCCTCCTCCTTTTCCTTTTTTTCTCTCCGTTCGAGCCTCCCCCCACGCACGTACGTTTCGCGCGCATCTGAGCGAAGAAGAGATCAGGGTCGGTGGTCGAGGGCGTCGAAAGTGCGCGAACCTAACTATACGAGAATCCTAACTTCGAGTTAAAGTCTTATCGTTAATGAAGTAATAAAAACGAGACGAGTCTCTCTTACGCAACGATCCACAACGGGTCTCGCATCTCGCTGCGGGTGATGCGCGCCGATACAACTCTCTCGCGCGGCTCGCTGTTGCCGCGAGAGACGAGAGTGAGAGCCGAAGAAAGGAATCACCTGGAAGAATGTCGTCCTGCTCTACGTGCGAAGTACGGACGCGCCGCTCTCTTTCCACTTCGCTCGCCACGCTCGGTGAGAGCTTTTCGATTTCCACCCTGCCGCCCGCACACCACCACCGTGGCGCCGCCTCCGTTTTCCTTCCTCTCCCACCCTGGCACTTCGATACCACCATCTCCTCCTCCTCTCGTTCCATCTCAACCGCTGTCGCTGACCCTGTGTCGATGCCCGGCATCGATCGATCCCCCGGCTTCCTCTTCCTGCGTCCCTTCGTTCCTGTCAATCCTTCGACTGCGCCAACGAGAAACGATCCCGCACGAGACCGCATTTTCCCCGACTTTCTCGAGGTCATCCGGCAGATCTTCCTCTGAAATATTCATCGAACGGTCACGGAGTAAACGAACGTGTCCAGGCTTCTTGTGCCGTTTCCTCGCGTGCCTTGTTTGACCCTTGTTTCGGAATATTCTCCACTGGTCTCTACGATTTCCACTCTCTCTCTCTCTCTGCTGGACTCTCGTCAGGACGATGGTTCGTTACCGGCGTTCTGCTTCCGTCTTACGGTGTGTACACAATCGGACTCTAATCTCTCTCTCTCTCTCTCTCTCGGTGAATACAACTCCGCGACTTCAACCTCGCCAGTCCTGCGTCTCTCCCGGTTATTAACCGTGCGACAATCGGTCTCCTCCGGTATGACGTTGTCGCCCGTATCGACGTCCAGCATCGATGGCGAGCGGTCGCGTTTGCTCGCGCTCGCGGTTCCATTATCCCCCTCTCTCTCATCGATCTAGCGTGACATCTCGTTGACCTCCGTTTGCCCCGTTCATATTTGCCATTGCGGCGGTCATATCATCAGCCGATCTCTTCCTCGCAGCCTCGGCGCAGCATCCCGATGCTCCGTTCGCTCCGATCGGCGAGAAAGCGAGCTCGGAGGATGCGTGTATGCGACGAGATTTTTCTACTTTTCCCTCCTCTCTCTCTCTCTCCTCCCTCGCTTTAGCCGACAGCGGACAAGCGTGCCCGTCTGCCTCGGTTTGTTGAACAACCGACCGATCGGTCGGCCGACGACCAAACGACCCGTCTTTCTTTCGCGCTTCCGATGATCCCGCTTTCGCGTGGTTCCCTCGTCGAGGCTGAGGCACACGTGGCGCGGTGCACGCGTAAAAGTGTAGGTAAGTACGCTGAGCAGGTACTGGAGCGAATAATACGTGCCGGCGATTGCGGCATCTAGCGGGTTTTGGTTTTTGTCGCGCTTAGTTGCTACAATTTTAAGAGTGTGTACGTGTCTGTATGTGTGTGGGGGGGGGTGTGTGTATTCGTGTTACTTTTCAACGTTTCTTCTCTCTCGGACACCACGTTCTATGTCGTTGTGTATTTTCTTCGTAACTCCGCTTTTCTCTACGTACATCTGTACATGTGTATGTATACTTGTGTGTGTGTGATCGTATCGCTCGTGTGCTCCGTGTTCCTAACGTTCGTTCGTACGCGCTCGATCGGGGATGACGAGCGTCCACCGAGAGCAGCTGGCCGGACCTCGGCCGATTTATTTATGATTGAAGGAGAACGGCGACGGGCCTGTCACCGCGCTTCGATGAAAGTGAACATTTTGCCACTTGTTGTCCCTCTTGTGCCACACGCGGCTTTCTTCACTTTGTTGTGTGTGCGCTACGCCTTGTCTGCGGATAAGGAAGCAAAAGAGAGGCTCGAATTAGTTTTATTGACCAGTGATACCGCGACGAGGCCCGACAGAAAATGAATTAGCGAGCAACCGATCCAAGGCTGCGATTGATCAAGTTCGCTCTCAATACAAAAGTGACTTAAATACGAGATCGCGTTTGACGGATTCGGTCTCTCGTTACTTTTCTACTCACTTGTCCATGTATTGCGTCAGCCTGACGTACGCGATGCATGCGGCGTCCTCGCCGAGCAGGTGAACGTGAGGGTTCAGGATCGTCGTGTTGACGGCCTTACAGTTCTTCCCCAGGACTGCTTAAGGTTTTGACGGGAAGCAAAGTTGACGTTACTCGTATACCGCTCGTGATCCGTTACGACGCGCGACTTTAAAGCTTTCACAACCACTGAGAGATTAAGAGAAACGAAAGGGGGGAGAGAGACAGACCGCTGCTAAAGCCGGTGGTGAGTACCGCCGTAAGCGAGGGGGCAAGAGAAAGGTCAAATAAAGGATACCGCATACTCTTGAGAAAATTCTACCAGGGCCAGGCACACTTTTCGCGGCACAAAGAAGAAAGAGCTTCTTGATATTACTCATGCAAAGTCTTGTAATTTATTCATTACGACGAGAGAAGTTTAATTCTATCCGTTTCCATGAAATTTGAATTTACCGCGTCAGAGCGCGGTAGCGGAGGGAAGAGGATTTGTAAAAAAGAATTAGACTAATAAACTCATTCTGTGGAAGCTCTTTCTCCTCGCTAATTTCTAACTTTTCATTGTTCATTAATGCGTCGCTTTATAATAGGATGTCCCAGCGAGAGGGACGGATCCGCTTTCGTCACTCGGAAGATCCGGAAAATTCTCAAATTTGACGGCTGCCTGACGAATGTGAGGAAATCTGAAAGAAACGACGGCCGACCTATCATATAAGCGTGTTAATTTTATCGATTTAGTTTGACGTTTCGCGAGTATCAAAGACACGCGATCGCGTCTGGATGGAAAACTTGAGTTTGAATCTCGAGGCCGAAGAACGCGAAGGTAACACCGCTCCGGTGATTCCCGGCTGATAATGATGCGCACTCTGAAGAATCTTCCCGACTGACTTGTAATTTCAGGAGTGCCCGCGCTTTGCCTGGCCCTGCGTATGCGCCATTAGTCGGTTAAATTAAAGGGAAGTGCAGTAAGAAGCTGGATTAACGTTAATTCAGACATTCCGCGGAGCACCGACCGCATTACGCCATTTAGAAAATGAGTCCGGTCGATTAGGTCGCGCGACAAACTTACGTCGCCGACTCGATCGCGACCGACATCGTACGCGCGACGTTGACGCGAGAACACAGAGAGCATCTTCTTGTCGTCGATAAATCGCAAATTAACGAAGTTGCTAATAACCGTCGTTTCGCAACTTGGCGCGCGTAACTATGCCGATAAGAGAGAGAGGTTTCCTCGTTACAAAGGGCTAACGATGGCAAAGTTGCTCCCCGTGGGAAAAGCGCGCAAGCATGCGCTCGCAAGCGAAAAACGTCACAGCTCTACGTTAATTGCGTGCGGCTACACTAAACATCGCGGTGGCGCGCGACGCTGAACGGTGACGCAAACGAGTCATAATTACCATTATCAAAGTAAAATTTGTGGAAATCCATTCCCTCGACTAAATTACCTAGAGCCTCCGGCTCGAACGCGGTCAGGTGTGGATCACAGATTTTCCTGAAAGCATGGTAGAAGATGAGCGTCCTCCGCGTAAAGCGAGCTTCCTTCCTCTACCGCGTGTTCATCTGATCCAACGGACGTTTGATTTAAAGGCGATAAGGGAGTCAAATCTTCCCGAAAATCGCCGAGGGAAAATTCAACCTCCGTTCACAATTTTTCACATCGCGTCACGTCCTTCCGACCAGATCAAACTTGTGTTGAAGCGAAGTCGGTCTTAAATTTGACTGAATATCGTTTTTTTTTCTCAGGGAATGTGAGCTCTCGATGTCTCGTTAGTTAGTCCCATTCGAAGATAATTCGACATTCTCGTTGAGAACAAACTGGCGGAAAAGTATCGAAAAGAACAATACGCTAGCGGAACGCACTGCAAATAGTAGGTGAATATCACGGTGACAAATATACCGTGACATCGAATACCGTGACTATCGCGCTAATATAACGAACGAGCCACGTATCGCGCGCAACGAACATTTTAACGATCGATCGGCGGTTAAAAAAGTAGAATAAATCCAACGTCAGCCAAAAAATCGCAAACCAAGCGTACAATTCATTTATACGCGGCGACAAAAATTATTGAGCGAGAATACGGATATATGCGCAGCTACATATACCGTTAATGACAAAAATACGATCGCAAGTGTGAACGAGCACGTAAATATTTTACACGTTTGTTGTTCGGCCGATGTTTTTCCTCTTAACGGCATGACAATAATTCTTGCGCATCGTTATATATAGGATGTCAGCATAATGAGAACATCTAAGTATCTTGAGGGCCTAAATATGAGGACCTCAAGAAAAATCGGAAAAAATGAGCGTAAAAAATAATTCCCTTCCACGGTATTCCTCCTTCGAAACCATTCAAATTATGCTCTAAAAATACATTTCTCATATCGTTAAAAATACAAAAGATATTTATGTGTTCTTACGCTAGGACACCCTGTACACATCGTTTAACGATCATAAACGTCTAATCATTACGTGATTGTTTAAAAATCGGTCGCGAGCTTGTTCGAGCAAACTCGATTTTTCCCCAATGTTCTCTGATTCTAACCGTACGCGAAAGAAAATTTAATTAATCACAGTTGATGTTAATCCGACGCGAATCCCGAACATTTCAATCGCGTTTGCATTCGCTCGGTAATCCTCTTAATCAACGACCGTTGCATCGGGAATTAGTTATTTTCAGCAAATCACTCGCCAATCTTGGCGTTTTTTAATTTTTTTTCCTTCGGAACTAGCAGAAAATGACGATATTTTTCGCGTATTCTTCGAATAAACTTTTCCTCGTCGAGATATACGAAAATCTCGAGATATTCTGCGCGCTTATCGGCGACGATTATCTGACGGATCGCCCCAATTTGTTAACTGACAAACGTGGTTACTTACGTGTACGCCTCGAAATCTCCGGTGTTGATGCTCTCGATCAATTGCTCGGTCATCTTGATGATTTCCTGTCGGCGCGCTGGAATTGTCAACAAATCATGAATCAATCAGTTGCGCCGAGGCGCCCGGCACGCGAGCCCGTCGGGCTCCCTCATACCGACACATTTTACGTCACAAACAGAGTCGCATGCAACTTTATCAACTTCTCTAAGCCCTACATCGTTTGATCCCGGGTCGTCGGAACGTTGAGCCAGACTCGCTCGAATAATTAAGTTTAACCGAGTGCAATCGCCGAGTCGGACTCGCGATCGTTCTCCTACGGTTTTCGTACACGTCGGAAACTAATCGAATCCGCAGCCTGATCGAGAACAATGTGCAGAAATCTGACAACTCCAGTCGAGCCAATTCGAGCGGCAGAACGTCTCTCTCGACGGACGTCATATGAGCAAAATTTCGCTCTTTGATGATTGGCGATTGTAGACAGTCTGGCTTGATGTATTGCGCGTGAAGAGTTGCGAGACTACCGTGGAATTTTGCGTTTTTGGCATTAATTTTTTTTTATTGTTGCGTTTGTATTGATACGCTGCACAGAAATGATAGAATTACGCGGAGATAGAAAAGAGAAAAAGAAAAAAGTGTAAATTATAATCCATAGCACAGAAATAAAATATCTACTCCGTAGACGCAATTCTACGTTCTCGATTCGTCCGACACGAGCGGTCTGTATCCACTTTACCGAGATGTCCAAGCGCCACTACGAGATCACTGTGTACGATCGCACATAATCTGAAATACCATTGAGCTTGCTAAGTATACAGGCTGTTCCAAAATCACCACGTTGTGTGTCTCCCTTTAATCTTTGGCCAATTTGACTTCTCCTCAACGGAGATCTCGAGCGATCGCGATCGGACAAAGGTAGCTGAAGCTTCAAGGGAGGAGAAACGACGGGAAGCGTATTCTCCGAACAATTTCGAGCGGATTTCATCTTGGTCAGAGTTTTTAATTCGAAAGCTCAGCTCGAGCGATGACCCTTTTCAACGTTCACATCGAGCGATGGGAAAATCCTTTTCAAATTGGCCGTGGATAAAAGCTGTTCCGCTGAAAAGATATTCCGGGGAGATGGGACAGCCTGTACTCGCTGCTTTACGTCGGCTGAGTGAGTAAGATCTGAAAGTGTCACTCGAACTGCCACTCGAATTAGCGACCGAACAACGCGGATCGCGTTTCTGTTATTCCCGCGGCCTTTCACCTCTCTCTCTCTCTCTCTCACACGTTCGTTCACACTGTGTATGTCGTCTCATTCACTCGACGGCGCATTCAGCCACGCATTCACCCACGCGCGTATTTCGCGGTGAATTTCTTTATCGCGCGCGTTTATGTTCTCTCCTTGTCACGGGCGTGACGCGTGCACGCGTTAACCCGAGACGCTAACAGAGACGTGCGTCTCTGCGTTATTGTCTTTACGAACGAACGGTCGGTCGTTGGATCATTGTGCCAACCTTGCGCGCAATTTCACCCTTTCACTTCTTATGAAATATCAAAGAAAATTTAGAGAAACTTTAATTTAATTTTGTAATTCTGTCGATTGATACACGAGTAAACGCATGGATTGTGTGGCAGAATGTATACCTTATATATCAGAATGTTATATATATATGTACATATATATTGAATAGATAGGAATCTTTGTGGAGGTTACGAGAGCGTTCGGTCAGATCAGACTTTTGCGATCACGTCGTCGTGTCGGAGACACTTTGCACGCGCAGATTGATATTTACGGCGGTCAGCGCTATTTAATCCAACGACCGCGACACACGTTCGCCGTTATTACTTACGTCATAGACCAGTACACGTACGGAAATTGTGATCATTCCTCTTGGGCGCCGGAGAAAAGTTTCGCGAGGAGAAGGTTTCCGGAGAGAGAAAGTACCCGAATCACGACGAATGGTACAACTCTTTACGTCGGAACACATACCTATCACACCGTATCTCCTACTAGATCAGATCGATCAATTCCGTATCGAGGATATCTTTCTTCTGAATCTGATCGATCGGTACCTCGCGTCGCAACGATACGATCGATTGTCGAAGAGAGAGTGGAGAGAAAAAAGAAAAAAAAAAAGAAAAACGACCGTTGAGTTACGTATAGGCCGGATGATCGTAATTGAGGATTAGGTCGTTCAGATTTAGACGGGGTGTGACTTCCGGTAACGATACAGCGCTAAAGTAGCAACGCAGGAGCCCAACGATATCCGCGGATGGAGGGAGAAAAAAAAAGAAGATGATTTCGTGATTGGATTTCTCTCGTGTTTCGCGAGAGACGACGGAGAACGCGTCACCTCGGCGATGAATTTGCTATCGTTTTTTGCGATACCACCACCATCACCACCACCACTACTATCACAATCGCCAGCTACTCGCTACTGTCTGCCTGTGTTCTCTCTTGCCGTCCTAACTAATTAAACTTTACCGCACCTCGGATGTTCCATTACGGGGCTAACGGTCCCGCTCTTCCGATCAATCTATCTCCGGCACGTGTGTTTGTGCTTGCAAAGAACGAGTTATCGCGACACTGACTATCCGTTACCGTTACACCACGTGGGAAAGCCCGTTCGCTTAGTATCCTTTTTAGATTTTCACGGTGTGATTACAGGCGTGAGAAGAGCTCTGTGGAAATTCAGCTCTCGTAAGAACGAAGCGATCGGTCGGATTCGCGAGAAAGTAGCCCGCGCGATCCAACACCGAGAAACAGCCCGAGTCGAAATTTGGATCCTACATCAAGTCCACTTGGTTTTACATCTCTCCAAGCGAAACAAACGGAGATAACTTCTCATTTGTAGCATCAAAGAAGCGCTAATAATGCTCCTACGATGTTTTTGAGAAGAATGGGAATTTAGACCTCCCGAGGGGAGGAAATTTCAAATTTTACGTTAACGTGTCTTCGTGGAGAAAATAACTTTCCATTTGTAGTACCAAAGGGAACACGATGGAAGACCTTTGGGGACTCGGTATAAAACTAAATAGACTTAACTGCAGAAGTGAAATTCCGGCTCGGCAGAATGATGCTAAATTCTCGCAAGAGCGATTGCGTCGTGTCGTACAGAGAGTCGCACAGAGAGAGAGATATCAATGCGACGAGTGCGGCTAGAGATCATATCAAGACGCGCGAATTACGGTATCGATTGTCGCGAGTGTTGCGCAATAAAAGCAGCGCCTTCGGAGGAAGAGGAGCGCGATGCGACCAAGTGGCCCGATCGAATCGCGAAGTTGAAGGAATTTTTCATCAAAGAAGAATCCCGCGCTCGCTTACTCGCAACGCGGCTCCTCAACGCGCGGAGGATTCGAAAACCGACGAGTCGAAGATGAGTACTCCCTCTTCTTCGTCGTCGTTTCCTTCTTTCCGTCCGTACTTGCGACGTAATTTCGCCTGAACTTTACCTGAGCACTGGGAGTTGGTCGAGAGCTGGCTGCAGGTCTTGATAGGACACACGATTCTTATTTCTACAAGCAATATACACCCCTTTCGTATTAAAAAATGGGTCAAGAGACAAGGCGGAGAATAATTTTCAAGGCAATGTCGCGCGTGAGGAGGATTAAGCTGCTGCTCGTCCGATTTCGAAAGCCCGTTTCTCGCGTGCGCCGAAAATCCCGCCCGAGTTGCCGATGTAATTTAATAACGCGCGCGGACCAATTTTCCACATCACGCAGCTCGTTCCATTGGAGATTAAAGTGCAATGAGCGTTATAATTAATATGAATAATACAGCACGTATCGCGGTAATCGCGCGATGACGCTCGCGAGAGTGCGGCTAACAACCGGCGCCTCTCTCTCTCGCGCGCGATTCGCGGAAGCTATTAGCTTAATCCTCACGTGCGCGGGTATCGTCTGAGAGGATTAACCGTCTCCCCCTTGATGGTATCTTATCGTCTCTTCCTCCTGGCTCTTCGCGGTCCGCGCTCGTTCGCGAGATCGTTGCATTCTCACCGCCGCCGTTGTTCGCTGATGCGTATTTTTTGCGCACGGTACGCGATGTGTTCAACGGGTTCGAGTGGATCCTCCTGTCCCCTTCGGAATTACGCGAGCGCGCTAAACGTCCTGCCGCTCGCTTAGCACAGGAGCCACTTTCCTTCTCGCCTCTCTCGTCGTATCGCACGCTTTGCGGATCCTAAAGTACTCGCTCCAACTAACGTGGATCGATCAAATGCATCTCAGATATCGCGAAACGCGCGTATCTGTTTGCGTATTTGACGATGGGGAAAAAGGAAAGAAAGGAGGAGGATCAATGAAGCCGTACCTCCTTCCGATTTCCGTTATCCATTTTTTCTTTCGCATTGTGTCAACATTAGGCATGTCAGAATAATCATTAGATGAGAAAAACTCGACCCATCAAGCCGTAATTAATTATTCACCCTCCTCCTTTCGATCGGGACGATCTTATGCGTCCGTCAACGATGACGCAAATATCGATATTCGCCGCGACGACGTACGCGAAGCAGAGAGTCTTGATAAAAAAAAGAAATTTTGTCAAGAATTCAAGCGCAACAGCAAGCGATTCGTCTAAGGTGAAGTTGCGCTGACATTAAAATGATTAGAATCGATCGAGACGACGGGCAGTAGATAGCGTCCGAGTACACGTGGCCAGTCTGACCGGTCGCGGTTGCTTACTACTCGCTCGCTCGCGATGCATCGAGATAGCGTCATGTTGAACATACGGTATGATGGATGGGGCGAGCCGTAATCAACGGAATTCGATCCATTCATTACCGTGATGAATGGCGGTACAAATTGTACCTATTATTATAACGACGCGTCCGCACGATCGAATCTACATCTGGCAAATGTCAAAAGCTGCCCAACGTCGAGGCAGGGATCATAAATCGATCGTCTACCAACTCTCCTGACGTCGAGGTTCTTCAGGTCGGGGGGAGGGGAGGGCCAGACTTGTTGTCATCGCACACTTGTTGTGGCCGCGATGATAACACTCGATGATATCACGAATGATTATTTCGAGGTTTCGATACCGCCATATTGTACTCTTCGGCGTTGTGCAGCGACGATGAAAAATTACCCTGTCTGAGGATAATTTTGGGCAAACTTTGTGCCAAAAATCATCGCGACTACTAACGATGTCGCAACGTATCATCATCACCGAAGAGTTCGTATCTACGTTCAACGAATTTCGTCGCGCGGAAGGTTTACGGTGACAAAATTAGCCACGATACGATCATTGAGAGGGAGAAATTCATTGTTATTGTGTCATCTTCCTTCTATTTATATAATACACTCGAACACAACACGTTGCTCTCTCGAGTTCTCCCTAATCGTAATCTATCCCTCGAAGCGACGTCTCTTCTCGAAAGAAAGATAGATAGATAAATAAATAAAAAGAAAAAGGATGGAAGATTCTCGCGTTAATCCCCGGTGTGTCAAAGAGGAAGCACGAGACGACCACGTGTGTGTCTCACAGGACGCGAGATCTAAGCACGGACCTCCTCCTCCCGCGGCACCCTTACCGTTTTCGAGATCCTCCATGAAGCTCGTCGACGCGCAACCGGCGTCGCTCGTCCGCCGTGCCTCCTGTTCTGCACGTTTTAAAGGTGGGCGCATGCAGGCGGGACAGAGAAAGAGAGAGAGAGAGAGAGAGAGAGCGCGATCATGAGAAAACGTATCACGTGCAGCGGGACATGCGGTAAACACATACATAGAGACACAAACAAAAAGAAAGTGGTGACACAAAATCCCGCGAAAGGGTCGCGCCGATAATTCGAAGCTTCGCTTGGCGTCCGATCGAATTCGAGCAAGAGTCTCGATTAATCGTCAGAAAGACCGTCGCTCAACTTTTCGAGTGAAACTCTGCAAGACGTTTCGAGAGAAAAAAGGCATTTAAAATAAATGTGTGAATACAAAAGTAAAGTCTCTCGATCGTTCTTCGTCGCTGGGTTGAAATGCCCCACCCCTCTGCGTTTCGCGGATTTATCTTTCTCGATCTGCGACACAAGCCGGCTTCCAATTAATCCAATTGCCGTTTGTAAAGCGCGGAAATACGCGTTTGTCTCGTGCATTCGGAACGTTAATCTCATCAGGCACGCTATTTGGATATCAACGTTAATAATCGCATTAATGTCAATTGCCTCGTTCGTGCGACGCGCAGCTACTTGACATAATGTCGGTCAAGGTGAGACGTCCCGTCGGATAATATCCCCAGAAGGCGAAGAAGCTCCGATTGGATTGGATCGAGCTTGCGAGTTATCGGCTTCACCGGAGTAAATCGCAACTGCGATGTAAAGGAGATTAGAGGGTGGAGAGCATAAATTTATGCACGTTGACGACGACGCGACGCTCGGAAAAATTGCCTCCCGTGCGGATTTTATGCTTTTGTTTTTGTACGAGCTTTCCCGGATAAAACCGAGCGCGCCGTTGTCATTTGGCGTCTCTCGTTGACATTTGCGTCCGACCGAGCAGCGTCTCGCAACCACCGAGAGAAAAACAAAGTTATCGCGAGCCGTAAATAATCTTCGACGAAGATACACTGCGGATATTAATTTTCTTCTCCACTCTCGCGGAAAGTATGCGAAAACCGAGTGCATCCGATGCTACTTATTACGATGAGGAGGAAGCACAGTCCATCGGCGTGTATTCGTCGCGTCGATCGTACATTTGGGCTCGACGCCCAAACGCAATTAATCCCCCCTCCCGTTATTTTCACCTCATCCTTTATCCGAAAGAGGAGAAAATACCGGATCGCGCTCCGTAAATCATAACGAACATTAGCGCCGATTATTTATAGACGCCGCGAACGAGCGCGCGGTTTTCGGGTAATACTTCTGTCCAGCAGTCTCGTAAATATTCGACGCGATCGCACTTCCGATATTCCGCCACCACTTTTGTGTGCAAACTCGCAACCTCTCCGGCCAGTCGAGGAGATCAGAAAGGGGATTAATCGCGATGAACTTTTCAGAATTTGGAAAAATCGATAAGAAACGAATTAAAGCGTCGAATACGAGAAGGGCATCGCATAGAACAACGTTCAAGAGACAGACGATGAAACCTTTGTCGCGTAATGTTAAAGTAAAATTCGTAAATTACATTTATGGAACTCGCTAAAATATCCAGAGACGAGAGTGACGAAATCGAAAGGAATCAAAGTAGCTGCTGCGATTCTATCGTTGTTTTTCAGGCGAAACGATCCCCCTCTGATCCTCGACTCCCCGTTTGACAGTCAATGAAAATAATCGACGGCGCGTTTCCACCCTCTGTGGGAAGAAGGGACGTGCTAGATCGTTCGTGCTACAGACCGATGGCCGAGGAGTCCTGGCGTCGCGATGTCGTCGGCCCGTTGCTGTTGGCCTGGTGGAGGCTGGCCAGCGACGATGGCGAGGCACCGGCTTGGCTGTTGTTGCTGCTACCGCTGCTGCTACCGCCTCCTGCGCTGCCAGCTAGTCATGCAATCAACCAACCAAACACGAGCTAGTGTCAACGTCAAAGGAGCTTTGGCGCCGAGTCGGCAGCACGCCGGCTCTCTCGACCGGCTCGACCATCAACTTTCCAACTGCGCCCTTCGTCCCCTTCCAACTTTTCGTAGATTCTCGTTCGCACAACCGGCCTCTATTTTCAGATCTTCAGTCAATGGAAGCGGTTGACCCGTATAAACCAGGAGACTCGGCGAATCGATTTGAATTTATAACGAAAGAATCTAAATTAAGCAGCGGACAGAATTCATCTCATCACGTAAAGTGATTCTTAATTCACGCGGAAAACCGAGCTGACGGGTCGAGAATTGTTTATAAGGAAGGGCTTGAAATTTGTCTCACTACAGATATCAGTTCATATCGATCGATTTCGTGCGTCTGATTCCACCTGCGTGCCGTCGAGCCGGAATTCATCCCGAGAACGAACGCGGCGGGGTGGTGTAAAACACGCGATCGATCATCGCGCCGTCGTCTATTCTCAGTGCTCGAATCCGTAAATAATAAATATTCGGCGAAAGAGCGCAGGGATCGCGTGATGTATCGCCGGAAGAGCGGGCCGGCGGTGTCTTGTACACCGTAGGTCCTGTCAGGGAGAGGTGAAACTCGAAGTAAAGTACAGTAAAGAAAGGAAAGGTCGTCCGGTCAATTTACGGGATTAATTGATTATTCATCGCAGACGCAGTGCGTGTGTAAGCGTGTCGAGGAGAGATCGGAACAAAGAGAAAAGTTCCGTCACGTCTCCTGCTGAAGAAGGATAGCCAGGTAAGGATCTGCGCACAAAAAGGACGGACAAGCTGTCGAGAGATACGTAAAATGAAAGGTGTGAGAAAGCGTGAATTCGCCGAAAAGAATAGTGCGGGGAACGCATAATCGTGTGTGTGCGCGCGAGAGTGCTGAGTATGTATCGAACGGTCAAGTATCGTGTGTGAATTCCAAGTCATGCTGAAGCGAAAACGGCTCGACCAATTCCTGCCTCGTCCTCGTTTTATCAGGGATTACTCAGGGCCGGGCACGTGTGTGCGCGATTTTCTCTCTCTCACGGGCGGAGACTCTCTCGATAAAGCGTGGAAGCAGAAATGGGTCATCCGGCTTGGGCAACCTTACCGATTCGTCGAGATCGCCGGTGTCTCCTTCCTGGTACGTGCCTACCTCTTGTCCTGCGACACGAGACAGAAAGAGAGAAAGAGAACTGGCGGGTTATTAAGCGACGATCGTAGAACCGTAGCCCGTGGAATATCTTTTCCTAGGCACGCGCGAGGAAGCCCAGCTCCTCTACAATTTATTGCCTCGGCTGTTCGCGAAGTCGACGGGATCGATAAGCGACGTACGATTCGCAATTAATAAACTAACGGGACAACCGTGCATCTTATCGTATCTTCCCGTTTCTTTTCCGAATCACATCGCGGGATGACTTTTGGACCTTTTGCGTATAAATAATCGAGAGACTTTGTTGCAGAGAGAGAGAGAGAGAGAGAGGAATAATTTTCGAATACGACGAATAGAGAAGTGCGCGTCGGATAAGTCTTACAGCTACGGCGACGCGCTCTCGGCTTAGAGAAGAAGCGCAAACGGCAAACTCGATCCGACAAACTCGTAAACCTCTCGTCCTCTCGGATCGTCATTTCACGGGACGAAATCGAAAAAGAGCGCACCTGTGTACGTACGACGACACGTTCACGTACATAGGATCGTCTCGCGCTGATAGAGACGAGAGAACAGTCGGAATGCCAATTACGACAAGGTCGGATCGGAGAATTCACGATGATCGTTCTGCAACTCCGCTGTGTGAGACAGACTCGGCCGACAAGTATTTCGATGATATTTTGTAAGACGTGAATTCGCATTGTATCGGTGCGGATCGTAATCGGTATTCCAATCGTGCAGAAATGTAACGCTCGCGACTTCCTTCCTCTCAGTGCGGGAGGTGGCTCGAGACGTAGTGGTGGGATCCGAGAACGTCGGGAGGGGGAGACCACCGCAAAGAATTCGCAAATTCCGATTCGTCACGATCGTCTCAAATCCCGAAAGGCGGATGATCCCTCATTTACCTTGGGTCCCTTGAAGAAGAACCGCGGCTATTCCGAGGGGGTTGCCCGTACCGGCCTGCTTGTTCGCTTGCATGGTCGTGGCTGCGCCGACCGCCTTGGAGAAGGCGGACATTGTCGCGGGGCTGCTCGGAGGTGTACCTTGCAACGAGCCAAGAGCTGCTTGTCGGAGAAGTAATCGAGAACACGGTGAAAAGCAGCACGAGAAAGCGCGAAGCGAACTCTGCCGGCTGTCGTTTATTGACGCGGCCCATGATTTATTTCGACACACACCGCGGACAAAGTCGCGAGGCACATTCACCTTCGCCGTTAATGCGACCCATTTACGTTAATTACGACGATTAGTACAGCGTTATCGATCTCAGCAGGGCTCGCTTCGGGTTAGCGTCGTTTCCACTGAGATTAGTCGGCCGAATATCTCGAGTCGAGATTTCTATCCGTTGGTTCGTCTCTCCATCGGGATTCGATGAAAGATTCGGGGGGGGGGGAAACGAGACGTCGGGCGTAATTATCAGTGGCCTTGGAACGGCCGGAGACTTTTCGCGTGGTCCGCGTAGACGAGGTTTACTCTCGAAATAGATCTTAGACGCGACTATACACACGTAGCGCGTCCGTAGCCGTTCGTCGGAAGTTCATTTAGCATAAGACGCCGTTAAAGACTAGTCCGCGACTAATATAGAACGCCGAAAGTGCTTTCCTCCGTGCGCTCGTCCGCGAGTTTTCCCTATCTTAAGTGTGCCGAGGTAGGTCGGTTAAGTCTCGAGTAACAAAGAAGATCAAGTTGCGCGTGCATTCTTCTCCGGGGCGGATTCTCACGGAATTGGAAGTCAAGTGCGCGTTCCAGGTTCTCGATTCGTTCGCAGTGTGAGAAGCCAACAGGTCGATCGAAGAGGAAGAACGGCGCATCGAGAAGTATTTTTACCCTCGACGGGTAAACGAAACGCATAACTTTTATCACGAGGTGCATGTAACACCGTATCTCTGGATGACTCACCGTGATTCTCCGTGTGAGGTTTCGACGAGCCGGGCAAGTTGTTGGCCGACATTGCGACGATCTCTCTTCAATCGTGTGCGCGAGACCGGCGACAAGCGTACGTAAGGGAGCTCTTCCGGTCGGGAAATCAGTCGACACGGAAAAGCCGAACGCGCGACTCGCTCCGAGGTGGGTCGAACGAACGTCTCGATCTATTTTCACGCAGTGCCAAGCGGGTATTTCTACTAACAGTACGTCTTGGACGCGCGCGAAGCGAACACCGAGTGTGGCGCGGTGTCTTCAGCCGAGATCATTGTCGATTAGACTCGATAAGATAAGGGCGATACGAATTCAAGATGGAAAGAGAGTGATTCGCGCGTTCACCGGGCTGCTCGTTCTTCAACTCCGTCTGTTAAAAATCTACGGGTTTCCCGGGGATTTTCAGTTTTCACCGGCAATATATGATTGTTTCTACCAGCGCTGTCCGGTCAGATGCGGCCGGATCCAGCTTTGCTTCGACCGGTTAATTTTACATAGGCTTAAAGTGTTTGCGAGCTCCCCACGTTAGTCAGAGCTTAATTATAACTTTCGAGTTAATTATCAGTGTAGCCCGGGTTTCATGCCGTTCTCATTATGACGTAGTTAATTTGCCGGCAACGATTCCATTATGCGCATCTACATGCCCGCCTACGCGACTATATCAACGACACACGTCCTCGCGCGTGGTATTTTTAATTTTAGCGATGCATAGTTAACAACGTACCGGCGGAACATCCTCGAACACCGTTGCCCTTCTTCCTTACTTTACGTACGTCTCACGCCGTCTCAAGGGAAGACAAATTGGCGGTATGCATCACGTCGTTAGTCCGTGAAGGATTTATGTTATATCACAATGGAGTTAGCTGCGGAATTAGTAGCGAAAGAAATCGTCGCGGTTACATTACACACACTTGGAAGCGCAGCGATTCCGAAAAATCGCAACGATCGGACGTAGTTCCTGTTGTGTTCGACCGCAGCCTCGAGGACGGGCTCAGGAGGATCCTCGATTTCGGACCGCGGGATTAATCGCAGACTGATCGGACAAATTGTACGTGCGGGTAGAGAGGGGGGAAGGGAGAGCAAAGAGTTCTCTCTCCGAATTGTTAGTCGACGGAACGAAAGGAGAGACGGTAAATCCGCCGTACGATTTCGCAGAAGCTGCAACAGACAGGGTGCAAAAGCTCGAAACTGGGCGCGGAGTCTCTCGCGTGAGATTGGCTTCTCCCATCCGCGGCGATCCTTCGCGAGGTAGGAATCGATATTTCCCTCCACGGGAAAGCCAATGTAGATACCGTACAGGGTGGGCCAAAAGTCTCGATGCGGTCGAATATGAAACCCTGCAACTTAATTGCACCGTTTACGAGGTATTCCACTGGTATATCCAGACTTTTGGCCCATCCCGTATTTATATTTCGCATTTGAAATATATTCCGGAATATCCAGAAATTCCAACTTTTTCAACGTCGCGATTAACATAGATGCGCTTTTACATGGCGTCGGTCGCGACAACGCGGAATTATCTGTCAACACGTCGCTCAAACTAAAAGTGCACGGTGTAATACGCAAAATATCACGAAAGTGCGAATTTCACCGGAAGGAAAGTGAAAGTCTTCGATGCGGCGTTTTCCGTACAAAAAGCATCGCGCAAGCATTTTCACAGTAACCGCGACAAATTATGCAAAAAAAAAACGGGACGGATGTGAATCGCGCGTTTGACGTTTTCGTGGTTTTCGCGCGCGTGTTTTTCTCATATGTTCGAATTTCCTGCACGAAGCTCGCGTGTGGACAGAACTCGAGTCTTCTCCGTCCGTTTAATTAATCCGGATATTTTCCGCTCAGCTGAGCAAAGTCACAGCTGAAAGCGCGAATGGGAGAGACCAGTGCGATCGCGGGACGTTCACAAGTAATGCGTATATATATATATACGCGGTTACATATGTAATACATAGAAGGAGAGACGTCGAAACGCATATGTTTCTCGCTCTCCCGAGAGTTGTTGGCTTTACCTTCGGGTTCTTTGGCAATGACCGTGCTGCTCCGGTCGACGCCGCCCTTCTTATCCTCTGTACAACATACATACATACATCACGGATATGCGACAGTTTCTGGTTACATAACGCCTAATACGATCATACGAAATATCGATAAAGCCACGTCGCATGACGAGAAGCGCTAAGCTCGTATTCCTCGATTTAACATTGTCGCGTGAGTATCGCTCCCCTCACACTACTCAACGATACGGTCGCGAAGAAGTGAAGTCCGCGAACGAATAAATCCGTATAAATTCTTCACTCGCCGAGCGGCCTCTGGACGTTTTTTCTACACATGCACGATCAATTTCGTAAAATGTTTATTTAGGCGGCCGCCCTGCACTATCGCGCGCGTTCGCAAAGATACATTTTTCCTATCGCGATGATCGATATTAACGTTCCGCGTTGGAGGCGAGGCAGTAGATTAGATCGATCATACGTCGAGCGGATACGTGCGCGCAGATATTGGCTTCACTTCTCCGCGCGGTGTGTATCTGCCTCGTGACAAGTAAGTGTCTTCCTCGGCAATCTCGCTGATTGGATTTGAATTCCGATCGTAGCGGCAAGCGGCCAGGCTCCGCGCGGTATTGACATTCGTTTTACCCGGTCGATTCAATTTCACTGCGATTCGTGTATGATCGCGATAATGGTTACACCGATCGTCACTGATCGTGACACAGTCGACTGATGATGTAACATAGCGAGAAGAATGCGGGGCAACGCACACTGAGAATTCGGAACTTTCGCGATATGTATCGTGTCGATTTCCCCCGACGAAAAAGGTCGGAGAGTCGTCGATGCAACGATTCCGCGGGGATTCGCAACGCGAATCCACCCAACTTCCACTGATACCCTTTCAAGCTTTCATACAAAATTTACATCGCTTCGCGATATTACTCCCGTTTTAAATCTCAATGAAGCGTCCGCACGAAAGTAGAATTTATCGCTCCGCTCTCTCCCGCTATGGCTATACTTTATTACGCTCGCAATTTTTCACGAGCAATAGCGAGAGCTACAACGGGGCCGTTTATTTGTCCGTCCGCGATTACGCGTCCAACGACCGCTGAATAATATTCTCTCGCACGTAGAGTGTTTCGTCTTCGCGCGAGAGATACAAACCGCGTGAAATTGATTGCGGTTGATTTTTGGACGAAGCCTCGACCACTTGCCGCGATAACGCGAGTACGATTTTTAGCGAAGGCTAAACGTCGCCCACGTCGGTTACAGATCGACGAAAACGAGTAAGTACGATCGGAAGTACTCCGCGCGATTTGTTCTCTCTCTTTTTTTTTTTATCCTTTTCACCTGTCAAGACAAATTTAGGAAATGCGCGAGAGAGAATGGTGTCGTTACCATCCAACGATATCGAAAAGAAACGGTCATTAGATAGAGTTAATGGAAAATATAATCGATCGGTACCGGGGGTAGAGTGCTGGAAGGTGCACTATACAGTGAGAACGTGCATAAACGTCGATAAAGACACGTATATATCGATCGTGTCTCGAGTAGGGAAGTGAAACAAAAGAAGAGTTGCGACACGTGCAGATCGAGCCGATCGTACGGTTTCGACACTTGGATCGCTATATGCCTTCCCCGCTTATTCGCCGCAAAATCGCGCAAGCGAGAGACCCTGATGAGTCGTTTGTTTCGTTGTACGTGCAATTTTCACAAGATGAGTATTATCAGAATTATTATTATAAGAATGTGAGATCCCGAAAATTTCGCCTATTTAGGCATTTGTCTGCTTCAACCGTTAAAAAGGAGGAGGATCGATAAGGCCGTTTTTGTGCCCCTCCCGATTAAACAATCGCGAATCGATATCAAATCACGAGCACGCGTGTCGAACCGTTGGATTTGTAACATTCGACGGCTCGAAATTGCGAGTAGAAAATCGTTCGCAAATTGCCGCGCCTGTTTTCGGCTGAAAGAGAATTTCCAAAAGAGAAGAGAGAAATTGAAAAAAAAAAACGTGTTTTCTCTCATCGCGATCATTTCACGCTCTTGTGGTATTGAAATGTGATTTCCTCATCCCCCCCCCTCCCCTATGTCGTAATTCTCCCGACACTGGGTTCGAGAGACCCGACAAAAAGCCGTACGATGGCGGGCAAGCGGTGCAATAGCCAGGAAGCATGCGAGAAGCGGATCGACACATAAAAAACTACGTGGAGAAAGAAGTGAGTGGAGTCAATTTCTCGAATGTGCTTGTGCGGGTGAACGGGTTTAGCTGGCAGACCAAGTGTGCTGTGAGCGGCACGAAAATGGGGGACGCACACATAGAGAGAGAGAGAGAGAGGCAAAGAGAAGGGAGTGAGAAAAGTGCTATAGAGCAAGAAAAAGAGAAATAAAAGTATATGTACGGGCTGGTGTTCATAAATCCATAACACCGGGTTAAACATCGAGTCGAGACCTGTGACGACGACAGAGAGCAGTGTGTGTGTGTGTGTGTGTGTGAGAATTCGGGTTCGGTGTATAATATATATATATATATATATATAGTGATAACCTAAGCTAAGGGCGTGTCCGTGTGACGATGCAGGGACTCGTGTGGAGAGATCGTTCGAGGAGGCGATCGGCGTCGGTCGTTTCCTTGAACGGTGCACGCGGAGGGAATCGCAGAGAAAAGTACACACAGAATGAAACCAGACGGGATCCCCGAGCCTCCGTTATTTGCTCGAGTGTCTGCTAACGGAAGCCTCGGGATCAATTTTACTCGGCGCGCGCGCGATATCGCGCCACGTGAGCCGCCACGCGATGTGACGTAACCTGAATATAAACGACTCCATTAAAGATAATAAAAGTAATAGCGCTAAACGAGATGACAATCGCGTCTCGATGCCTGCAATTTTTTAATCGCACGACATAACGCGCGAGATTAAACGGAGACCTCTGAGCAATCGACGAAACAAGCATGTTGCGAGCGATAAAATTATTATTATATTAGACGCACTTTTTTCACGATCTCGTAATTCTTAATTTTATCGCGCATCACGCGGAAAGTCGTTACGCTGATCCGTTTTCCCGACGGCTCCCATTATCTCATTCGGATCTTACGAAACGAACGTACCACTCGATTGTACTTCTCTCCGTGGAATGGAAGTGGGGGGAGGTGTGGGGGGGGGGCGTCGTTAACGTCAATGATCCATTAAAGTGCCGACGATTTTCATTATTGTCACTGCCACGTGAATTTCTGATTGCATCTCTCGCCGCCGCCGTTTTCGAAATTCAAGAGACATTCGGAACAAGCTCGGCGGCCTGTCGTGTTTTGCACGAACGAACTTGTTCCTTTTTCACTTTTCGCTTGTAATCCGTAACATCCGTGTACAAACTCGGCGACAGGCGATATTTATGACGCGAGATTCGTTTGAGCAGTAAAATTCATTTACCATTCTCTTTATCGGCGGTACATACAAGCGACCGTTCGTTCGTGTTGCATCTTGTCCCATCGCTCTGGTTCACACGGATAAAACCAGGAGACAAAATCAGACCGAATGAAAGAGTAGCAAAACACGCAGGCTGATAAAACGTGGCAGCGGAAAATAAAAAAAAAAGAAAATCTCTCAACATCACACGGGGAGGCGTGTGTGCGGACGTCAAAGGAACACAAACATATATATATATATGCGAGATGAGATCTAAACGTGCGGAAGTGATGATCGTGATACGTTCCCTAAAAAGCACGCGGTTTCGCAACCGATTCTTTTCGTTCATTCGCGCCACTACTCTTGTATGTAGTTTGTATGACACGTGGGACGAGTCTGTGGCTGGTGTCCGGAGATCCACTGAGAATTCGTGAAAAGATTCGCAAAGAAAGAGAAATACAGAAATACCGAACGAGGTCGCTCGTTATCGACTCGCGGCGCGATCTTTTGCTCGCTCGCTCACGGTCGAGCTGATAAATCGCGGAGCGAAAGAGTCGCGATATTTATTCCTCAATTAGAGGAATTTCTCGTCCTACCGAGCGAACGAGCCGAAACGAGTCTTTCGTTCGGTGATCAAAGCGGTGATCGTGAACCGTAAAGAACGTATATACATATAACAGCGAGAAAGTTGAAAGTCTCTCTGCTAATTGCGGTTCTAAGAGACAAAAGGCAAATGTGTGTGTGTATATATGTATACACGCTGAAACGAAAAATGCAAGCGAAAGCAGCGTGAGCCGGAGCGATTGTAATCACCGGCCATTATTAGGAAAAAAAATCGACTCGAGCGAGAATAAACAAGTGTACAGGAACATCGATATCAGTATGAAAAAAATATGCAATGACAATACCGGATGATCGCCGTTGTATCGCGTTTTATAGCAGACCTATGTTACGCGAGGTTACAACCCTTTCGACTCGTCTACAGTGTGTGAACACATACGTCTCCTACGTTACATATATACCTAGAGTGAACTCTCGCCTTACATTCGTAATAATCTGTGTGAATGCGCACGAAACTAATCGATCTTTAGCCACTAATCTCTTACTTTTATTCACCGGGGCTTGACGCTGAGAAATTACTACTCTATCGCTACTTACGCTATTAATCTTGGAATGCTATTTTTCGCGCGCGCGCTTCTTCTCCCGTTCATTACGTGTCGTGTTCGAGCACTTTTAGACCGCGAGGCTCTACTGTAACGAATGAGAGAAACGTAAAGGCAAGCGATATACGTCGCAGCGAATCATTCGAGACAATCGACAGACTTGGCCGTTCAAGATTAACCTGTCGCAGCTATTTCTACTTGCGCTACTCCACGAGTCCAATTTCTCCAATGTACCACAAGAGAGATAGATAAATAGAGAGAGAGAGAGAGAGGAAACAATATAGAAGCAGCACGTAGAAAACGGGGAGAGAAGTCGCGTTTAAATTTGCAATACTACATCTACCGAATGTATGTTTGCGTGTTCTTACGTTCGCGACCGTCAATTATCCTTTTATGCTGGATCGTATCGCGAGGAAGCGCACTCTAATTACAATCGATTTTGCTCGCCGATTAACGATCGCATGTGCGATAGTCGCTAAAAAGGGATGCATTACGTTAACGAGGGAACTATGATATAATGGTGGTTGTGCGGATAGTGGTAGACTTTTACACGTGGCGCGCGTCTTTACGGTTCGGTCGTTTCGCACGCGCGTATAGCGGCACGTCGGTGTGAGTTATATCCGGAGAATAAAGAGAAAAAAAAAATAGAAAGGAAGATGGAACAGCGTGGGAAAGAAAATGTTCGCGGGCGTAAAAAAGCTCGATTAATCGTAGATCACACGAAAGTCCGGCGAATCTCAGGCTCGAATGCGAGGAAACGAGAACCGACGTAAAACCGGGGGAGGCGATACTCTTGTCCGTACTTCTCCTTTGATAACGCATCTGAACGAATGACGTGGATCCAATCAACTTTACTACCATCTGTACGATCCGAAAATTCTCTGTGACTCACGAAACTAATGTGATACAACTTGTCAATAGAGATACGCCAGTTTTTCTATCGCCACCCTCGTTACGCAGATCCTCCGCGACCCGCGTTTACTCGAATCGGAAGGAAAAAAAGAAACGAACGCGGTTACCAGACCTTACACCGTGCGCAGCCTATCACATTCAAGCTGTTAAATAATTGAATGTTGATTAAACGTGCCGTGCGCGCGATTGTTTGCGTTTTACAGCAGTTGTGTATATCGCGATTACTCGTGTTTTATTCATCGCTCGACCCGCGCAGATGCGTTACGCACACACGCGGACGTTTTTCACAGCCCCAATCCCGCGTCTGGTAACCGCGGTGATTAAAAGGCAAATCAGATGCAATCGCAATGATCACATTTCCGGTCGAGTGATGATGAAACACGCCTCGAAGAGACTTGCACTCTCAGTCTATGGTGCATTCTTTCTTGCTGTCACAGTAATAACGCGTGCGCACGTCACTCATCTGTGTGTTATGGATTTGTGAGCATCGCTACGTAGGGGTATACAAATCAATCAGTGTTGTCGCTTCTCACGCAGCCGTTCAATGTATTTGGTGCTTTGCCTTTTATGGCGTGTTCTGCCTATGGGAACGGATAATCTGACTCTGTGCGGAGGTATGCGTGTATGTGTGTGTATTCGGATGCACAAAGCAAACGATTCACTCTTACAAGATATTTCTAATATTCGGTTTATCCTTCCTCCCCATGCCCGGTAAATTTTTCGCTCTCGACACCATCGGCCGTGTAAATGCACGAATACTACCGTCGTGTACAAGATTCATGCATCCGTTCGAAATGAGATAAAACCGATATTCTCGACTTATCGATAATATCGAGAGCAATCCCCGAATATATCAGAGCAATGTAGGTATCGCGTTTAAACGCTAAATGTGGCGCGCGATTTGAAAATAAAGCTAGCGCCGATCGTACGCTTAGCGAGCGCTAATGTCGCAAAATATGAATTCGAAGCGATTTGCGTGACGCTGATAGATGAGTCTCCCTGTGTGTATCGTGTGTCGATAAATTCGAAGGGGAACGTCGTTCTCTCGGCAAGATCCCCGGCAAATTATATGCTACGAGGGAGGAGGAGAGAGAGGATATGGTGAGCATGCAAAGACATTTGGATTGTACTTTCTCGACGCGTGTGTCTTCCTTCATTCTTTACTACGCAACTGCGATTGTTATCCAGTAATTATGGAGATCCCCTTTGAAATATATAGCATTGGGATGAAAACTTCGAATTGGGAATGCGACACATTTTAACCGGTTAATCGGGCAAATGGAGAATTATCCGTCCGTCCGTTAATTATGTACCTGCTCTAGATTCTCCGGCCGTTACACGCCGATGCAATGTGAAACAGGCAGGCGCGTCTCGAGAGTACAATCCTATCGGGATCTCCTCGGGGAATTCTACACACACACTCTGCTAGAATATACGAATGGCAGGAGGCTCTCAAATTTCTTCGGTTACACGCGAAACAAAAGAACGGACGGGAGAGCCGATCGATATCACCGCGCGGATGAGTATCGTTCCGTGGCGAGAACACGTCGGTGTGTGTGTATAAAATAGCGCAAATTTATGGAACCGATTAAAAACGGCGTTATCATCACCTTCTTACCGATGAAATGAGAAACGAGGATGTTTTGAACGAGCTGCAGATCAATATTCGTCCTGAGATCTTTGTTACGTGCACGTCACTCTCGGGAAATTCACAGTGCGCAATATTTCGGTGGCCGTCGAACTGTACTCACACCGTACTCGACGTATTCGCCGAAGAGCGAGAGAAAATAGCTTTCGAACATACCGCCGCGCGTTTTTACGCGAGCGTCGTGTGTCAGATACAGAGAGGACAGCACCGGTTTGATAGAGAAATCGTGAGAGATACAGCGACTGTCAGAGTTAGTGAGGAACTTGAGAGACAGCCCGAACGAGGTGGCTGATAATGTAGAAACGGAGTACCTGTACCGTGGATCGATAGGAGGCACATAATGTACACGATTAAATGGACGTTTCTGTATAAAATGTACATCTGCTCGCCAGCAGGTACGGTTATTTATAAGCTTCAGATGTGTGTGCGATTATATCGACACGCGAATGGATTGTGCCGTGTTGGTATATATTCGTGTAAGAGATCCGCCGAAGAGCAACGCAGTCGCAAAGATCCTGACGCGGTAATTTACCCCGAGCTCTACATGACTTGACATTTTTCTCCTTGAATTACGATCCAGAGACATTTGTATCGTGTGTCTTTTATCTCTTGATCGATGTATTGCAAACATATCGCACTCTATGGAGTACTCAAATAAATATGTTGCGTATTTTTATTTATCAACGGAGGAGGGGCCGATATCTCAAATAACCCTGGAAATAGAAGGGGGGTCCAATATTTCATTGACAGAAATCGAACGATGGCGAAATGAAAAATTTATCCGAGTCATTATTGTCAATTATGATTTTTAGAAATCGGCTAACTAGAGCCGTACCATCATTATCGACTATTCCGACTGTCTTGCTCTTCGCTCGTGGGTATCTTTGAGGAATGTACGATCGAACGCGGACAGGTGGGAGACAAGTGAAACACGGAGCAGGCCGATCGATAAGTGTATAGTTAAAAGTGTCTACGGAGGCAAAAGAGAAAAGATCAAGGCGAGATCGACTTTTCTACGAACCGAGGAGAGGGGCAAACTTCAAGTTCTGCAACCGGAGTACACCTCGGAGGTACATCACAAAGGAGTCGAGATAAGGACGCTGTGATGCAATGAAATCACTAATTTGAGAAAGAATGACCATCGCTACGTAAAAATGTCGTAGTCGAATACTTTCACAGTTTTTACATAATTGGGATGTGAGAAAGCGCAATGTTAGAAAAATGTACAAAATGCGTATATACAACATTAGAAGAGCTCTCTTTCTATGTATAGACGCATCGTCATTGAAGGAAAATTCCAATTAAAAGTAAATCTTGACCCGTGCGCGATCAATGTCCTTATCGACGAACCGTTGCGATGTACTCGCGAGTGTAGCAATAATCGGAGCACAGGTGGTACGCAGGTGGAGAAGGGTGGCAGGGCTAGAGGATAAGCAACGAGTGGGTACTTAACTACTCGAGCTATTGTCCAACGATCGACTTGCACGTGAGCGAGAGTAGTATCTCAAATGACGGATCAATACGCGCTTATGTGTCCAACGAGAACGGATTAATCTGCCGGCGCAGCTCGGCGATATTCGCTGATAAACTGGCGATGTCACCGAACCGAAAGGTCGGATCGAGCACTCTTCGATGCACCTCGGACATACGAGGAGTGCGGCAAGTCTCGCACGAATCGTCGCTGGAACGACGTCTCAGCGACGCTACCCAACCCGACGTTTCTTCTTCCTTTACGTTCTCCACTTAACCGGTGGGTTCCGCGTCGTTTGACGAGAACGTAGCTTAATCTCGGAGCACGAGGGTACTCAATTATGACGTGGGGTCGGACATGCATGCATCATCGAATCTAAGAAGGTCCGCGCGCGCATTATTCATGCTGCCGGTAGATCGGAAGCGTATAATTCCTGTGTTTCTCATTAACAAGTACGCGAACTTGCTGCCGCGGGGAAGGTAAGAATCCGGATATCCATTGTTATCGTCGCGATTATTCCGCTCGCGTGACGACAATACCGCGACGGAATCGCTGTCATAATTCAATCTGAGCTTTCGAGCACGAAAAGACTTTAACGCTGGCTGGAGATATGCCGACAACGTGTTCGCACGTTGCGAAATCGCCGAGCGACTTTCCATCGATACGTCGACGAAGACGTCATCCCATGTATTATGACATAACACCAATTAATACTAATGATGATACGAACATCAATATTTATGTATTCCGCAAATTTCGTTAATACACGTATAAATATCTACACGGAAGTTATACAGATATTTATACATTATCTCTGTGTGTGTGTGTGTATCTCCGACGACCGAAAGTCGGTTCATCCGATTATATCAACACCTTTGAGCACTCGCGCGGTTCGTAAACCGAACGTGTGATCCTAAAGATCGATCTACACACATCTATCTCCGAGGCAACTTGTTCGTTAGTAATTACGAACTATCGAGAGAATTCGGTGCGCGAGATTCCTGGTCACGAAGAATGAGAGAAAGAGAGAACAAGACGCAAGAAAGGACAGGATCTCCTACCTTTAACGTCATCGTCTTCAATCGTTGTGCTGCTATCGGTGGATTCCTTCACTTGAGAGCCATCGCCCTTCTTCGTTATGATGCTTCGACCTGGAGTGCGCAGAGCGTTTCAATAAATCGGTATCGGGGAAGTGTCGAAAGAGAGATAGAGCAGAAAGAGTCTTCTTAGAGAACGTGAGGTAGGAGAGACAAAGCGAGAAAATGAACGAAAGGGGACGGGAAAAGAGAGAGAGAGAGAGAGAGCGTACCGTTGCAAAACGGGACGATCTTGAGAGGATACGGTTCAGGATGGACCAAGGCGGCTGAATCGGGTCCACTTGGGATTCTGGGTGTTTATTTAGATCCGTTTCTCGATATGCTCCCATCGGGACGCACTTGAGAGCGTTTCACGGTTTAAATGTGTGTATTACTCTTGGCGTCGTTCTCGAACGTGGAAGGAACATAACTGCCGCGTCACGATCCGCTCTCAGTGCGACGATTAAGAAAAAAAGAAGATGAGAAGAGAAGCGAAATCGCTTTGGATGCCGCGAATATTAATCTGGCCCGCCGGGGAGGAGAACGCGAGACGGACGAGGAAGAGAGGATAGTGGGCGAGATTCTCCTCTTTCCACGAGTCCTTATTGATCGTAGGAGAGAAACGCAACGTGGAGGCGCCGCTGCAATCCGTGCTGCTCGCTCGTGCGCATCGAAATAAAATGTTAATTAAATCCGTCCGTCCGTCCGTTCGTCCGTGCGATCGACGATGCAGCAGCGAATAATCGCGGATTTTCCCATCATTCTCGGTGTTTTCACTCCCGACAGCGCGCGAGTTATAATCGCGATCTTTTCTCCGCGCAATTAAGCTGTACGCGGCTCTACGCGTCGCCTAGCTTTTGAGTTGGCGCGAAACGACACAAGGTTCCTGTCGCACAAGGAGCAGCTTCGCGTGTGATGCGAATATCTTCGTAAGATTTCAAGTCGATACCAAATTATTGCATCGCGTATGTTCCTTGCACGTTCAATTGCGTCCGCTAATTTAACAATTAATACTTCTCCTTAACGTCATTGCGTGACGTAATAATCATTCGTGTCCTGAACATGCGGGATTAAAGTGGGAGTTCGTCTATAATTTGCGTACGTAAATGATAAGTGACTCCTCGAGAGAAGAAAAGAAAGTCTAGTGAATAGTAGGACACATTTAGAAATAATGACACACGCGGCGATCGAGTGACTCAAGATCGCCGGAGGTCGAGACATATAAACGGGTTCGTCGGATAGGATATGGCGGAAGTAATCGGACGGGTGAACGGATCGTCGAGAGAAAAGAAAGATATCGAACAAATTGGCGAGAAGATTCAACATTCAAACGAACGCGTTCATGCAAGTTCTATTCGTGCAATTCCTATCGATGCGTTGGCCCGATCTCCCTGATCTACCGCAGAAAGTATAGCCTTCGTTTATCCAGCGAGGTCGCAGATATCCCCCAAGACGTTTGAAAGAAAAAAAGAACTCCCAATATTAGTCGCCAAAGACGCTGGATAAGCGAAGGCACCGGAAATTGCGAAATGTTATGTAAATGCATGCCCAATGCGTGCAATCGGATGCAGTGTCGTAGCCGCCGCGTAGGCGGGAAAATCAGTTTCATCTGGTGTCGGCTGGTTAGTTTCTATGCACACATTGCGTTAACGGGAGCGAAACGAAAACCGAAACGATTAATATTAGCATTAATAACGGTGCATCGGCGCGATATGCGCCGTTAATCATTCGAGTGATAATTGAATATTTATAGCGGGCCGTGTTATGTGCGAATAAACGCGATATTAACGTAACACAATGCAACCGAGTATTTATATCGAGAGCACTCGTTAACCCTAAATACTAAGGACGAGTCCAAAATGGCTCGAATTCGGTGCGCTCTGCGAAATTTCGAAGAGATAACGACAATTGTAACGACAATTATGCACTAGTAAACAATCATCGAAATATCGACACTGAGAGTCGTTTTATCGTCATTTATCCGCTAGGATGTACCTCCGAGAGATAAAAAACAGACTGCTTAAAGGTCATCGTGTTCCATTCAATTTGTAAAAGAAAGCACGCCTGTAGAAGGAAAGGAAAAAAACGAAAGAAGCGAGGTGTGCCGGAGGAGAGTGTAAAGTTAAAAACAACTTGGACTTTATCTCCGGAAAAGTTGGCGAGTCCCTGGCGAGAAAAAGGCTGAGCGTTGCTCTATTTTAATAGGGATTACAACAGAGAATATCGTAATCTCTCGTCAGAGCAGATCGTAATCCCATTGCAGAGGAACTTTTGCACGGACGTGCGTTTCACATTTCGTGATATAAAATATTGTCGCTGAAAAGAATTAGCGCTCTTAACTCTCCCTCGATAGTGTGTCTCGGTGAGACTCGATTTAGTATTTTCAGGATTAAACGAGTCATTTTTGGAATACGGCTTCAAAGGCGGCCGGCTGTTTCGTTCTCGATAAGAGCGAGTTGATACGGGAGGGAGCGGTTGAGCCGCTAGAAATACAAACGCAAAGTAGAGTATCGTCGAGATTTCGAGTAATAGGAGAAGAGGAGAGAAAGAAAGAAAGAGAGCTGTTGACGTATGACAAGTAACGAGCCGTTACTCCTTGCGTGTATTTTTATCGCGTAACGGATGAGAGAGAGAGATCAACAGCAGACGGCGTTTCGTTTCTTTGAAATCACTGTCAAAGCGAGTGTGTGTACATGTCTTTCTCTCTTGAGATTTCCTCGGTGTCGTCTCAGAATCTCCCGAAAACGAGATCTGTCAACGGGAAAATTCGCGTACTTAAAAGCTAAATCCTGAAAATTCATCTATGTTTACTAAAAAGAGACGAGACGCTGCGAGAGTTTACGAGAACTTGCTTTTACCGTGTTGATAGGTTTATCTACAGGCATCCGTTTGATTTACCGATGCCATAATTAGCCGTTCGAAAGTAGTCTAGCGGCTCTAGCTCAAAGGACAGTGTCTTTTCGAGTTAATTGCTGGGGACGCTGATCATTTTGCTCGGTGAGAGAAAGAGAGAAAGAGAGAAATAAGGGCAGAAAGAGCGAGAGAAAGAAAGAAAAGGTGAAAGAGTAGCGTTCGTAGTGCGCCAGAATAGTCGAGCCATGTGCTGTGCTGTGACGCGTTAAAACGTGCAAACGCATCCGCGCGCGAAGCGAAATTGCTGAAGGGAGGGCGCGTAAAAAGCACAAGCAGAGACACGGCCGGGCATATACAGTTAATGTGAATTAGCGAGGCGAAAAGCGAAAGCATGCGACAGAGGGACGACGATTCGTACGGCGGAGTCTCGGTGCTGGATAAAAGGACACCGAAACAATCTAATCTTTCGGCTTTCGATTTAACGCGTTTGTTCTTTTCTTGTTTGCAATTGCAAGTCACTAAACCAGATCTTGCGATTGCACGAGCACAGTAGGCGAGACGAGCTTTCGTACCAATACGTACGCGCGATATTCATACTGGAAGGAAATAAATTTCCATTATAAAGTAAGAGAAAAAGAAAGCTAACTACTTTTCAAACAATCGTGATACATGAGGTGTCTCGCCTACAGTTCTCGAAACAAGAATATCTTTCGTCGTATCTCCGAATTATTTTCTCTTCATTGTTTTCACGTCCTTTACAAATCTGAGGTTCCGGAGCTTTGGATGTATCGTAAATACCATTTTTTTCGCCGGAACGAAACCCGACCGGACTCCGAATCGTGCGAACCGATCGTCCTCTACGATCCAATATCGTCGACAGTATCGTGTGTATCGTCGTGTACTTGAGGACTCGTGTGTGCGCGCGGCATATATCGTTCATCACTCGGGTCCTGCTCTATCGGATCGAGGAGGTATCGAAAAAAATCGTGGCAAGAATGGAGCGCATCCATTTTGCACCTCCGACCCACTTCGCGTACTGCGGTCTACCTTTGTCAACAAAAAAAATTCAGTCATAGATAATAGAGAGAAAAAGAGAAAGAAAGAGAAAAGAGAAAGGTAGAGAGAGAGAAAGAGTTAGAGAAAAGAGAGAGGGAGAGAGTAATGGCGAATTCAATTGGATGCATTAGTACATACCTAAGGCTTCTTCATAGTTCGTTCTTATACTTAAAGATCGTCTTAAATGTATCTTTAAATATTTCCTAGCCAGCAAAATAATCGGCACAGCATCCATACGGATCGTTTTATTGACTAAGTTTTTGGAGATGTATTTAAGATGACTCATATAAATATAAGAACGGACTGTGAACAAGCCTTAGTGCATGCAATCGAATTTGTCATTGGAGAGAAAGAGGTAGAAAAAAAGAGAGAGAGAGAAAGAGTAAGAGACAGACAGAAAAAGAGAAAGAACGAGATTTATTCGTCGAGCTGGTCACTCGTGTTCTCTCAAGGGATGGGCAGAAAGAACGGCCCTAGTTCGGGAATTCATGGATTCATGGATTCCCTGGAAGCCCTCGAGGCCCTACGCGCGGTTTGGGATTCATAAACCCATACGTAATTCGCGTACCATCCGCGGTAGAAATACATAAATTTGCCGCAGCGTCCGAAATTCATGGACGCGAGAAATGTGCAATATAATTCGCGATTGAAACGTTCGTGCGCCGGAAAATATCATATATGCATATAGGAGGGACGTAAAAACTATTACCTAAATGTGAAAAAGGTGACGATTTCTTTTCAATCAATCGTGCACTCGGTGTTTCGTAAACGCATAAATCGAGCCGGTGACATAGGCGAAATCTGAGTGGCTTCGCGTTAAATTTACTCGAGCTGTGAGAACTCGCTCACTCACCGTGAGTTCGCGCGCGTAGTGCTTCTTATGCGCGAAACTCGATTACACGACATTACGTACACAGCATGCGCGGACATACGAAATCTTCATTTACTCGCTGCTCGGTGTAATTTTCTTGAATACACCGCGCCCCCGTCGAGAGAACACGAGCATCCGGGAATATGTGGATATGTAGCAATCGGAGAATAATGAATGAGCCTGCGAGAATTCCTCGATGAGTCGATCGATCGATGATCGTTTTCCGGAGGATCCTTAATTCGCCGTACACGTCGCGATTATCGCGATTATCCTCTATGATAAAAGCGCGTCGCCG